TAACCAAACTAGTCAGACCAAAGCCTGTCAGCAGCGATCTTTCGTGGGGGCATTGAGCTGAGGAGGCAGAAGTCCTCTTGCATGACTCCTTGGGTTGGCGCCTATCTCACATCACACCCTCGCCTCACTTGTGCTTGGAGGGACTGTGCATGTAGATGAGGCCCACTGGCCTATAATCTTTCCGTTTTAGCTCAGGTGTTTAGTGAGAGTGATCACCTGCCCCTGATAAAACATTAACAGGGTCGCCTGACTCAGTGCCTGATTCGGTCTCGCGCAACCGCGTGGCCATTTCAAACCCCGCAGGGCCTTAGCTTCCTTAGCCCCGCGCTTGATGGACAGTCCACGAGGAGATGATTCTTGGATCTCACGTAGCATCTGACTTGGGTGGCCAGACTGGGCTAGTGGCTGGTATGACTTTGCGGCACTGCTTATCTTTGTCTGAGGTTCTTGTGCAGCCGACACATCACACGCCGGTGGAACCGGCCGAAGATAAGACTTTGGGACAATAGAGGCTAACTGGCCCCTAGTGCCAGAGTGGGCTCGTTATAAGATGCGTTGGAATGTTAAGGGATGTGTCGCGTGCTGTTTCCACCCAGACTCCATCTCTGCTCCCTGGCAATATGCGTCCGAAGCTCTCACGTGTTTTCCCTGTCTTCGTTCTTCTGTCCAGAGAAATTCTCGCCGCAGCAGTGCCCCGGCCCATCGCCGACAGGACCACTTGTCGGAAAACCCAGGTGGCGATTCTCGGTGCTGGAATCGCCGGAGTCACAGCCGCACAGGCCGTCTCCAACGCGTCCATCACCGATTTTCTCCTGGTCGATAGAAATGATTACCTTGGAGGTCGCGTAGTGAATACGCAGTTTGGCAAGAAGCCCGACGGCTCGGCTTACACGATCGAACTCGGCGCGAATTGGATACAGGGTCTCGGCTCTGAGAGCGGTCCGGAGAACCCAATCTGGACCTTGAGCAAGAAATATAGCATCAATAGCACCTTCTCCAATTATAGTGCCATTCTGTCCTATGATGAGACCGGCCAGGTTGACTACCTCCACCTGCTCGATGAGTACGACAAGGCGTACGAGGAGGTGCAGAAGCAGTCCGGATACATTTTAAATCTGAACCTGCAGGACACCAGTGTCCGCACAGGCCTGTCCCTAGCAGGGTGGAATCCTCAAGGGAGCTCACACGCACAAGCTGCGGAATGGTGGGGATGGGACTTCAATTCTGCCCAACCGCCTGAGCTCAGCAGTCTGCTCTTTGGGGTCGCTGGCGATAACGCTACTTTCAACCACTTTAGTGATGAAAACTTCTTCGTGACGCATCAAAATGGGCTGAATGAATTCATACAACGCGAGGCGCATCAGTTCCTGAAGAAAAATGACCCTAGAATCCTGCTGGATACAACTGTCACATCGATCCAGTCTTCGGATGACTCGGTAGAGGTGCAGTTCGAAAACGGAGAATGTGTCGAGGCTGAACATGTCATCTGTACTTTCTCTGTTGGTGTTCTCCAAAATAACGTTGTCGAATTCAAGCCCGAGCTGCCTCTCTGGAAGCGAGATGCTATCCAGTCCTTCAATATGGGGATCTACACGAAAATATTTATGCAATTCAATGAGACGTTTTGGGATGAGGATACACAGTTCTTCCTCTACGCTGACCCGTATGAGCGTGGGAAATACCCCGTCTTTCAGTCCCTCACGGGCCCTGAATTTCACGAAGACTCGCATATTATGTTCGCCACTGTTGCAGCTGGCCAGGCACAAGTGGTAGAGAAGCAAACGGACGAGGAGACCCTGGCCCAGGTGATGGAGGTCCTAAGGTCCATGTTTCCCGATGTCAACGTCCCCGATCCTATAGCGTTCATGTATCCTCGCTGGTCCGAGGAGAAGTAAGTCCCTAATCTGAGATCCGGTGTGAATGAGTAACTAATAACTTGAAGATGGGCATATGGGTCCTATAGCAACTGGCCCGTCGGCGTGACCCTAGAGAAGCACCAAAACCTGCGAGCAAATGTGGATAGGCTCTGGTTTGCCGGAGAGGCTTCCTCGTCTCTATGGTTCGGATACATGCAGGGCGCCTGGTTCGAAGGTCAAGAGATCGGGCAGCGTGTTGCCGGCATGTTGGGCGCCCACGTTCCTATGAAGAACCGGGGATCGATGCGACACTATAATGTCCTGCACGGCACGAGCTTTGCGGATGGATATGATGATGAGCACGGATGGAATGTAGACACGTTTGCCGATCAACAACTTCGAAAGTTGGCTCGGGGGAAAGCTGCTACTGTCCATGAGCAGATTCCTTTGTAAATTACGATGCATGAGGTTTTAGAAGGTTTTGTATGTTTAGGGAGCCAGCATGTTTTTTTTTATACACGAGAATGAAACCTATGATTATCATACCCATCGAGTAATTGATGTATAAAAGAGACTCATATAATGCCGCTAAACGGCATTATATTAGGGGGGAATAACTTTAAGATCTCGCTACTTTATGTAGCCTGACTTAGCAATCAAGGTATAGAGGCGTGTGTCACCCTATCCTTTATCGACAAATTTTCTTACGTGTTATTTTGCTTATCATTGTGCTATCTAGGTGAAGATCATTAGATGCGAGTGAAGAACAGGGAATGCTGCTATCTTGCGTATCAAATCCGGGACAGCAATTGCCTATCTTCTCAAGAGCTATTATTTTGCGGGCACCAACCAGCATCTCAGATCCAAGAATAATCTCCACAAAGCGCACTTTGGTCACTGCAAAGCAGAGCTCCTGGTTGGTGCCCGGGAAGTGATTATTGGTAAGATTCCGATTCCGTATTCCGCGTATCGAGAGGCCTCTCTATCTCCTTGCGATTTGAATCATCATAAGAAGCGGCCCATTTCGCTCACAGGTTCCAAAATATTTTGCCTTCGCCAACAACGTTGCTTCACTTTCAACGCTTCGCCGCTGCGTCTGAACAATGTCCTCTTCACCCAAAGTTCGCGTCGCCGTCACACAGGCTGAGCCAGTGTGGCTCGATCTCGCCGGCGCTGTCACAAAGACATGTGCTCTGATACAAGAGGCTGCCCAAGAGGGCGCTCAGCTCATCGCGTTTCCGGAATGTTGGATTCCTGGTTATCCATGCTGGATTTGGTGAGTAAAATGCGGCCCAGTGCATTCAAGAAGCTGCAGCGAATGATGCTAACCACATCTCCGAGGAAAGGACTCGGCTGGTGGACTTCGACTTGAACGTCAAATACATCAAGAATTCTATAAAGCTGCACTCACCGGAGATGAAGACCATCCAGAAGTGTGCACTTGAGAACAACATTGCCGTGTCGCTGGGATTCTCCGAGAACGACAATGACTCCGTGTATATTGCACAGGCAATGATTGGCGCCGATGGCGAGATCAAAACGCACCGCCGCAAGATGAAGCCCACGCATATGGAGCGTACCATCTTCGGTGATGCTTCTGGCCAATGCCTCGCCTCAGTAGTCGAGCTACCATTCGCCCGCGTCGGCCACTTGTCATGCTGGGAACATATCCAGCCATTGCTCAAGTTCCACACCATGTCTCAGGGTGAACAGATTCACGTGTCCGCCTGGCCCAGTCTGACGCCGCACACCGGCGGACCAGATTTGTGGTCCATGTCAGCAGAAGGTTCGGCGTCCTTTCCAAAGCCTCACGATTACCGAGAAAATTACTTACACGTCTGCTTTTCCAGGTTGTCAAGCACTATCTCGTACATACGCGATCGAGGGTTCAACATTTGTTCTCCACTCCACTGCGATAATCACGGAGAAGGGCGTTGCACTTCAGAAGACCGAGGGCGGCAGTCTCATGTCGTCTCCCGGTGGAGGTAGCTCTGCTATCTTTGCTCCTGATGGTCGCAAATTAAGCAATGATATCGACCCAACGACCGAGGGTATTCTCTACGCTGACCTGGATCTGGACAATATCATCCAGAACAAGATGTTCGCGCACTGCACAGGGCACTATAGTCGGCCTGATCTTCTGTCCTTGAGTGTTGAATCAAATATCAAAACCGTGGTGAGAGAGATGATAGTAAACCTAAAAGACACGGAAATAGAGAACAACCCCAAGGGTCTGGAGAATTAAGTATCTGCTTCCAGGTTAATGGATTGCGCAGTGCCGAGATACAGCCCAGCCAGGGAACATGATAGTCTCATTTTTTATAGCCTTAATTATGTCGTTAGTAAGGAAATTCATCAATGATTCACTTTCAGCATTTTTTTCAACGCCTGTGAGCGTTCTCCAGTTGTTTTTGTGTTGCTGTTGCCGCCATTTTCAAAACCCTCAAGTCGATATCAATGTTTATTTGCAACCTTAGATTATAATATTTCAAAATTTAAGGTTAGTAATAATGATTTGACATGTAAATAGAAGAGATTTCCTACCCATTCTTTTTTTAAATTGTGTATATTTTTGTCCTGTGTTGGAAGAGGTTTCAGGAGTGTTAATATGGAATTCAGCGGGTTTAGGGTAGTGTACCGTATTCATTGTGTTGAGTTGTCGGGCTCTGGCAGCTTCCATTGCTGTTGAACTTTATTCTCATTCTCTTACGTAGGGTAGTGTACTGAATACTTTTATCAGCTCTCCATGGCACTATTCAACAGCCAGGTCAAGAGGGTGGATGGGAAAGAAAAATGGTTCGCCGATGAAGGCATCTTCAGGCGGCAGAAAATGTCAGCATACGTTGTTCATCTATGCCGAATTCGTCACCATGCATGTTAATATTGCATATATCCCAAGCCACATTGCTACCTAATCAGGCCCGATCCTGTTATTTTCTAGTAATCGTCAAACATTTAAAAATGGGACGTTGGGCTACGGTTTGTTATCCTGTTGTTGTAAGCAAATTCTCCCTCTCGCTGCCCGTTACTATGTCTCGGCCCTTGAATGAAGTACCTTCAGAGAGAACGCCATTGTTGGGCGCCCCTTCAATGCTTGAGACGGTGAATTTGGGCGCTAGTTTTCCCAAAAGCCGCCAAGAAGCTATGGATGACATAGAAAGAATTCGGCGACAGCAGGAGCCTCGTCTCACGGATGAGGAGTACCAAAGAATGCTGAAGCTGTACGTTCATGCCTTGTTGGCCGGCCTTTTTAGCAACAAGCCTTGCTAAGTTCTTCCTAGATTGAGTGACGGACAGAACACGAATGTTTCCCGGTTCCTGTATGAGCTGCTCCAAAACGCCGACGATGCTCATTACGGTCCCAAGACGCCCCAGGTCATCATTCGGTACAGTGATCGGTACGTGCTCTTCGAATCGAACGAAGTTGGCTTCAGCAAGGCCAACCTCAACTCTATTTGCCGAGCTACCATGAGCACCAAAAGGGGCGACGAAAACGCCAGGGACCAGCGCAGGTCGATAGGCGAGAAGGGAATTGGCTTCAAGTCCGTCTTCATGGTCGCCACCTCTGTTTGGATCAATTCCGGCTTCTATGCATTTCGTTTTGATGCAGATACGCCACTCGGCCGAGTACGCCCTATCTGGGATGAGGACTGGCCTAGCCGGCTCACAAAGTCGAAAGGATTTACATCCATCTTGTTAATGCTCCCCGATAACAAGAGGCCCCCGACAGATATGAAGATTGTAGATCCTACAGAGGTCATCCGCGGCATGAAAGAACTTGATCCGATGGATCTCATTTTCCTGTCTCGGCTGAAGAATGTTCACATCCAGTTGGTAGATGATAACGGCTTTGCGAAGAAGATACTGGGACCTACAAGATGGCAGACCACTCTGAAGGTCGACGCGATCCCAGAAACCGTCAATCTCTTGATGGACATGGAAACCCATCGTGATGGAATTCGTGAATTATGTGTCGTCTTTCGATATCCCGTTGCCGGACTCCCACCAAGCTCGGACAGACCGAATCTTACTACGTCGGAGTTAATATTGGTTTTCTCCCGAGATATGGGTGTTTCAAGCGGCAAGCTGATATTCTCATCTAGGAGGATGTACGCTTTTCTTCCTATAAGGGACTACGGTTTCAAGGTTCGTTTCAGACAACAATCCCCCCCTAGACTCTTTTCGTGCCTAACAAACAGGTACTAATGCAGTTTACCATCCATTCGGATTTCATTCTCGTGTCGAATCGAGAAGATATGGAGCCAGTACAATGGAACAGGGAGATTGTAAGAAGAATTCCTCATGCGCTTGCGGAAGCCGTTGAACAATTCAAGGGGAAGTATCCCGACCTCTGGGTCAAATGGCCATTGTTACTACCTCTGAACGGACTCAGTGGTGACATATTCCGATCTATTCCAGAAGGAATAAAGACAGCTTTTTCTTTGAGAAATGTACTCGAGGATGCTAATGGACTTTGCGTTCGCCCCCACGAAGTGAGAATTGTTCCAAAGCATCTCAGAGACAGACATGGAACCCCATTCCTCCCACATAGCTGCTCAAAAATGCACGTTTTATCCGAGAAATACTCCGAGGAAGCGAGAGATAAACTCATCGAGCTGGGAGTAGAATACTTGTCGCACGAAGCTTTCCTTCAAGACCTTTCAGTTTTCATCTTGAACCACCACACTGAGTTTGTGCAAAAGTCAGACCCGTGGCATGACGAGCTCTGTAAGCTTCTGTCGGACCTTCTCGACACATACAAATACAGAAAGGTGATTGAGAGCCTGGAGCTGGTCCCTCTTTCAAAGACGTTACCAAATGGTGACCACGAATGGGTCTCGCCAAAAGCCGGCAAGCTCTATTTTCCAGTTGAAACTCGCGGCCTTCGGTTACCGCCGTGTATCGAAGGTATGTTCGAAATTCGGCAGGGTGTAAAGAATAATATTCATCAAGAAAAGCTTTTCCGAAAACTTGGTGCAACCGATGCTCGACTTAATGATCTCTGTGGCTACATCATTCTGCAACACACAGAAAACATCATCGCGCCTTATCATTGGTCTTGCGAGGACATGGTATCTCATCTCATGTTTCTGCATGAGGCCAAGTGGGAATTGCCAGATGGCTCATTTCCAAAGTTATGGCATGTCTGTAAGGATGGGACATTTCGTCACCACTATGAAATTTATCAGGAGTGCGACGACCGATACTCTGCAAATTTCATATCAGACCTCGGGGGTTATAGAAGAGCATTGCACTTTTTGCATCCGCTTTATCTAACTACCTTCCAAAGATTCCTAGATGGACCACAATGGCTTGATGAGCTATTGGCCTGAGAAAGCGTCTTCGTCTCACAAGAACTTCAATGTTTGGAGGATACAAGTTGCATGAAGATTTCCAGTCGCTCCTCGCAGACGAGACTCTTGAGGCACTGGAACTCTTACGGCACAACTGGTCTTTTTACCGGTCTTGGTTCGTCAGCGAAATTGGAGATCAATTATCATCTAGCAAAGAGCATGACGCACCAAGCTCACTCCATGATACTGCCCGCGAGAAACTGAGATCCTGTGTCTCGAATGCCAGATTTCCTTGCCATAGTCCGCCTGGACCTCCCGTCATGTGTAAACTACGAGACTTGTACTTGCCTAGAGAGGAGCTTCTCTTGCTATGTGAGCAGGATACTTTTCCACGTTGCGAGCGACCGGTCAGGAGATGCTTCAGTTGCGATTTCATGTATTCGCTCCGAATACTTAGACCTCGCAGAGTTACGCATGTGATTGTCGATTCAGGGAGACTCCTAGGAATCCGAAACCCTGATCGAAGAGAGTGGGATTTTCTGCAGACGTTTGGCGTCTTTGTGAAGGTCGGAGGCAAACTCTTTGTCGATCATCTGCTCCGGATTCGTGGTACAGAAGTCAGACATGATCATATGCAGAATCTCTATGAGCAGTTGGAAAAATTCGCGATTGGCTCGATGGAGTCGAGAATAAAGTAAGAAATTCAAGAGTGAGGTGATCAAATGACAACTTTTCTTTGGAACTGACCACGGGTCTTTAGGGAGGCTTTAAGTGAACCTGGTTCGATCTATATCCCCAATGGCACCTTTTCAGGCAAATGGGACGATTCCAGCTCGGTCGTCTGGGATGGTCCGAGCAGCCTTAGACATGTTCCACGTCTGATACGTTTCTACGGAGCCCGATCTCACCTCTTCCAAACGATCTTGGAAATCCCGGACGCAGACCTTGCAACAATGGAAACAGAAGTTAGGAGTCTGATACCCGAAAATATTGACCACGTGATATCAGTCCTTCGTTCTATATCTGAGTATCTCGAGCCTTGGAACCAAGCATCTCAAGTCATTCCAGACTTAACGCAGTGGCGCATGTTTCCAGTCAATCCGAAGGGGGGCACCTCTGCCAAGGTTGAGCTGCAAGCAGCCTCTGATTTCTGGTGCATTCCAGTAGCTTTGGACCATCAAAGGGGCTTTCTCGGTAAAGTCAACATATCGGTCATCTTTGCTGATACTTTTAGCGGCATATCCCAACTATGCGGTTATCTAAAGTTGGATTCAAAATTCATGTCCAGACTTATCAATGAAAAATCTGCGCATCATCATGGGGTTCGCCTACATGAAGGCTACATGGAGAGGCTTCGAGGGAAAGCCTTGTACATTGCATCGTAAGTCATATTCTCCTCTGTGCATTCTAGGCTCTACTTAGGGCCGAGAGTTGTCTAATCTTATCCAGGTTGATCCCGCTTCGTTACCAAACTAAATACGTCAAGTTGCTTAAGAATCTGTTTGTATATCAATGTGACCAGATTCTTATTAATTGGCACCTCAGAGTTGGCGAAGAGGTGGTGCAGAGCCATCCGGTGGAAGACCAGGTGACAGTCGAAATCAGAAGCGGAGAATTGAGCATTCATATGGTTGACAAGGATAGTCTCCTCAACTCGGGTTATTCTCCAATGCAGTTATCCCATCTGATGGCCGACGTTTGCAAGATTAACCGCAGCAGAGATTTTAGTCTTCTCATCCAGATCCTCGCACAGGACAAACCTAAGCTTATTGAAGCAGATCTTCATTTTCACCTCAAAGAAACTGGCCGTACAAGATTCAAAGAACCATTTAAGAGCGGCGATGACGCGATCAGCATGCCCCAAACCTCAATGCCACCTCAGCAGAAAAATACAGCGACTCGGGTGACCACTCAAAAGGAGGACCGCATTCAAGTCTTGCCCTTTGACAATCAACAGGATGACACCCCTTCTTCTAAGATGCAGGAGCCGATAGAAGGTGAAACTGGGCGGATTGACTCTCAGCCGGTCCCCAAAGCCTCGAAGAACACCTTGGATAGTCAAATACAGAATCCGGTAGGACATGTCTCGGAGGATGCTGTAGATGCTGTAACTGGCACTGATGACCATCCTATCGCGCATAAAGAGCAGCATACATCAAATGGGCTTAGTGGTCCCATATCAGATACGGAAGATCGATCCGTTGAACAGCTTAGCCCTACAAAGATTGAGGCTCCTACAAATGTCGGAAAGAGCATCAGCTCTACCACCGCGAGAGGCCCCATCAATAATACGGAGGCGAGCTGCCAGTATGATACCATTCGGATCCTTGATGGGACCGAGCCATGTCAAAAGGATGAATTTGGAAATCGGCAAGCTCAACAGGAGTCGAGTGATGAGCATGCACCGGCCTTCTCCGAGTCTCCAAAGGCAGATAAGAGCCATCTTCTCGAGAATGCCAGAGTGCATAATGTCAGAACAGAGATTGCGGACGCCGCAGAGGAAGCTCCAAGCGAAGGCAACAAATTAATGGTCAGAGGATATAGAAGCAGCCCCCGAAGCGACCAGCAAGAGGTGCCTCCTAGTACCAAATTGGAGGCCGAGAGCATCAGTGTACAACTTGATTCGCTGCCAGCCAAAGACACACCTCTTGCTTCTAAAGACGAGGAGGAAATCGTCGAGGTAAGTAGAATAGGGCATCTCCTACCAAGTACGATCCAAGCTTCCACGGGTGCCGTCCATACAGGGCACAGAACCTCTCACGGCAAACAGGAATTTAGTGGTTTGAAAGTGCCTAGCATTGCCATTGAAAGGGCTGAGTTACCAGAAGATACGAAAGTGCCCTTGATTAAGCCTAGTGAAACGCCTTCTTACAGGTCTGGACCTCCATCTAGTATCAGAGGCGACCAACATGCGCAACAAGAATTTGGTACAGTTCTCAAAACCATGAGGCCATCATCGCCGTATGCCAAGAGAGCCCTTTCCCCTAGTCGCTATCTCCCGTCTAGCGACAGGGAGGTAGATTATCTATCAACCCAGCCGCACAGAAGGACGAACCACGAGTTCATGAACATGAATAGTGGCTTCGTACATTATCATGAACCAACGACGATCTTCACTGGCCGAGACACAGAGGAGACCAGAAATTTTGGGGAGCTCTATGTAAGTAGCCTCCCAACCAAATACGGAAAGACATGATCCTAATAAGATGGCTTGGGTGTGATGGCAGGTGTCCGAGTATCTTCGCAAGTTGCTCCCCGAAACATATGATCCTAGCAAGCATTGGACCAGCCGACAACGCTCAAGGTCGTTTACGCCGCCAACACCAGATTGCTCTACGTTCACGATCCCAGATGCTAGTGGGAAGCTACTTGAAGCAGTTATCGAGGGAGGCCACATCAACAGAGCTCTGCTTGAGAAGCCCTGCACAATTCACGTTGAAGTATGCGCTTCCAACGACGGTCTCTACTCGACTTTCATCCTGCCCAACGTTCAGTTTGAAAAGGTAAGTCCGTTATCTTCACGGCGTGCCAGATAGCCACTCGTGTGAGTAGTCTCCGTCGGTGCTAATGTTCGACACTTGTTATTGTTCTAGGCGAGAAGGATGACCATGAGCAAGGATCAGAAGTTCAACCAAATCTACATTCTGGCTCGTGTGTATAAAGTACGCGAGGATCCGGGAATCGCCATGTACGTGGATCCATGGCACCTTTATCTGCACGGATCTTTATCGCTCCAGTCAGCGAGTCGCTTTCTTGGAGCGATATCGAAATCGAAGACACTGCGACCAATCCTACATCAAGAATCGACGAGGGCAAGTTTCACCTCAAAGTCGCACGTTGTCTACCACGATCTGCCTGTCGGGCCACGGGAAATCCGTCTCCTCAAGCTGGACCTGAACAAGTACAACGAGCCCCTTCGCGGATCGCTTCAGGTGTGCAACGTGTCAGATGCTAATCATTATTGGGCCTTATCCTACGTCTGGGGCCCGAATCCGACGGAACTACATCCAATCTACTTTACGGTAGACGGGAAGGAGATGATGATCACAGAATCTTTGAGTGCATTTCTCAAGCAGCTACGACGCAAACTAAGAGATGGCGGAACCAACTCAGTCCCTCCGCTGCTATGGGCTGATGCGTTGTGCATCGACCAAAACAACAACGTCGAGAAAAGCCAGCAGGTGAGCAACATGGGGTCTATTTTTGGGGAAGCGAAGCAGGTAATGGTCTGGGCTGGCACCGAGAATGAGAATGATACTGGGGTCATCGAGGTGTTCGCATGGCTGCACGAGCAACTCTTCGGACACCGGGACACAAAGACTTGTCGCTGCCGAGATACAGAACAACCGTCAACAGATCACCTCCCAAATGACGAAGATCCTTGCTGGCCAGCCATTGAAGCTTTCTTGAGGCGGGAATGGTTCGTGCGTGTATGGATCATCCAGGAACTCGTCCTTGGCTCCGACGTCACTCTGATGTGCGGTGAGCGGGAAACCCGTTGGGATTGCTTCGCTCAGACACTGAGTGTTTGCGAACGGTATTTAAATCAAGGTGACCACGGTAGACACTATCTCCCGAGCTCGGGTCCTGCGCTCTCTCTCCATGGCGTCCGCAAACTCTACCAAGGGCGCCGCAAGTTCCGCTTCCTGCAGCTGATCGACAAGTTCTACCTCTCACAGTCCACTTGGCGACGTGATCGATTGTTCGCACTCCTGAACTTGGCGTCGGATGCCGATTTCAACACGAGTGACTTCCAGCCTGATTATGACTCTGGAGACGAGAATGTCCTTGCAGTATATGCGCGCGGTTTCGTCCGGCTTGGCCTGGCCCCAGACCTTCTGTACCGAGCTGGGAGTGGCAAGGCATGTCCTTCCTGCTCATGGATACCAGACTTCATGCGTAGACGGTCTGGGAACCCACCATACCCGCCAACTATTTCCACATGGCAGGCGAAGTCGGGGCAGTTCAGCGCAGGAAGTCGAAACATCCGCAAGAAACCCACAGTGCACTTCATAAAGCCGTCTGTACCTGAGGGGGGACTCAGAGACTATCTTCAGCCGGTTCTTGTTATCTCTGGTTACGAAATCGACACCGTCACAGGTTGCCAGCCACTCAATATCAACCCCAGCCACGGATCGGTGTCTTTCGAAACACTCCACATCGTCCGCAAGCATCTAAAGTTCTACTTACGAGGCCGGAGCGAGAAAATTGTGATAAACCTACTCATCGGTGATGCTCTACGACCGCAGCCCTTCTACGCCGGGCAGGAATCCGCAGAGTTGGACGAGTGGCCGCCCGGGTTCGAGGAAAAGTTGCTACGGGCAATCGACCCTGACCAAGATGGACGAGAGTACGACAAAGTACAGGTTGAGGACCGGAGACTAAACCTCAAGTTCTGGGCAACAGTCAGAGCGTTTGCTGGCAGAATACCGGGCGCGGCGGTGTGTCTCACAGAGAAAGGGCATGTAGCGATTGTCCCAGGGGGTGCGAGGCCCGGGGATAAGATTGTTGCTATCCACGAGGCTGCTGTCCCTTTTGTCATAGGAGAGAGGGAAAGTGTTTCGTGTAAATTAGACGGTACATCCCAACGGTGCCTGACACTTGTAGGCGAGTGTTATGTTGATGGCCTTATGTACTTTGACGGCTCCTCAGTTACGGGACAACCGACGGATATTTATCTAGTATAGGACTTGGTATTCATTATGTTGAGATACCGGGTCTGGCATCTTCTATTGTTGTTTAACTTTAACTAGAACTCTCTACCGTATCTAGTATAGGGCTCTAGGGCATATGATTACTGTCGGTTGGTAGAGTAGCTGACTCTCCTTGTATTCTTCACTCTAGAAGAAAGAGCATTCGGTATTTAATCTCTAGAGCGGAACATAAAAATGACCAATATAGATGATAAACAGTCTTGCTTATAAGCCTATGAATATAAGACAAGATTTTAGCTTTACAGATGAGGGGAATCTCTGTAGCCTGCTGCTACCTGGCTGGAGTCCATCACACAACTCGATTCCAAGTTCGAATCCTCAGACACCTTGACGCCAAATCCATAGATAAGGTCTACTGCAAGGCCTGTCTTTATCATGCAGGGCGTAATCTTAAGGGAACTCTCCTGGGCCTGGACCAAACGACTGTCCTTTGGAAAGCGTAAGTCTTGTGCAGGTCTCGGCCTCGCAACCGCTATTCGGACTATTGCCCCACCAATCGAGCTCGACCGAGGGGTAGCTGAGCGCGAAGAAAATGACCACGGCGGCCAGAGCAATGGCGGAGGAGAAAGCGGCTGAAAGGACGTAGTTATACTTGGACCAGAAAGCGAGGTGTCGCTCTCGGAGATATTTCATGCTAAACCAAGCGGGTAGGACGGCAGGCCACATGTAAGCAATATTGTACTAGAGAAGTTGGCATTAGCTCTGCTTCAAGCGCTTCAAGCAGTATAGAATCCTCATGGTATGGTTGGAGGATTGCCGGAAAAGGCAGGGGGATAATATGATATGCTGGGTTTGAACGTACTGGAGACCAATGGATACCGCCTGCAAGGAGCATTACAGGATGGACTGAGCGAAACCAGTGGTTGCGGGGAACGAGCTTCTGAAGGTAGTAGAGAACGAAAGGAACCGCAAATCCAAGAGGAAACGCTGTCAGCAGTGTCGTATACTGAGCATTGGTACCAAACACACGTCTAGCACCAATACTGCCAAACAAAACTGCCGCCGTGAAGTAGGTGTTGACTCCAGGGCAGGAGAAACGGTCCTTTTGGGTCCTTGACACGCTCTTAGTCAAACAAGACATGGAAGAGTTGGGCAGGACGACCTACGTTTCGCAGAGATTTGGAATGTTTTGAATTTGGAAGTTCATGACTCCAGTAGTCACAAAGGCAGACACAATCACAGCAACGACCTGCGCGCAAAATGTCTGCCGCTGAGGGATCTTGAGGTAGTGGGCGAGCTTGAGGTCGTTTGCAAAGTCGAGCGCGTGAGCCGTTGTGACATATCTGAGCGAGGTTCGGTAAGTTTTAGCAACAGAGCGGGATTCCAGATTCACAGAGTTCTTACCCGAAGCACTTGAAAAAGTTCATGGCTAATGCGTTGCCCGGCTGCCAAGCACCGCCGATAAACTCGGCCAATACACTAATTGAATATGTCAGTCGACTCTTCAGACGGGGTGAGATGGATGGAGAATGGTTGTCTGACTTGTATTCCACTTCCATTCCTGTTGTGGCCGCAATGATCCCTGTGGGAATTGTGAAGATCATGGCAAGCGCAATGCCGAAGAACACAACACCGACGCTCGTCTGTGTTTAGGTAAGTAATCAGCTTACGTTCCTAAAAGCCGGATAGACGACTTCTAATTACTCACATGCGTGGGCCAACCGGCAACTGCACCAACTCCCACGGCGACGGCGACGATGTTTAGAATCAAATACCACCATTCGGGAACTAAGAATTGGTGTGAGATGACAGTTCTTGGATGGTATATGTTGTAGACGCACCTTCTTTATATGCCGACATCAGCCTTGAGTGGACGTCTTGGAAGTCGTTGGTTCCATTTCTCCTCATGCTTCTCCACAAACTCTTGAACCCAAGTGCAATATCTCGTCGGTGATATAGAGTAGCATATGATACCATGGCGGCATAAACCGCAAAGAAGTAGTAGTACATGGTGATGCTACTAGCAGCAAGGTAGACTGGAGAATATGCCTCATATTTCGTCTCGTTGAGCCATCCTTGGCCGTCCAGGATTCGCGTCACATTGTATGATTTTCCGAATCTGTCAAACATGGCGTTTGTGTTGATTGGAAGGTACCCAGTGTTGTAAGCATTAGTCCAATACATGCCGATAATAGTAATACCGCCCAAGAGAACACCAAAGAACGTATTGATTGTAACGTGATAAGGCACAATGAGGGGATCTTGGACATGTGTCACGATATTCCAGTCAAAGGTAGGAAGCGGATTGAAGCCGAGCCCCTTTTTGATTCCCGTGATGGCCGTGAGGTTGAAGTTATTCGGGGCGATCCACGCTATCCAGTTGAAGACGCTCAGGGCTTGGAAGATATATTCGGGGAACCAGAAATAGACAAACATTGACGAGAAGGCAGTCAAGAAGAACCGGAATCGTGAAATCGTGAACAGCTTTCGGAATGGACCGGATACAGTGTTATTCACACCTAAGAGGCGACGTGTGCGTAAATATGATGAACCTGTAAAAGGGGAAACGCCTGCACACCCTTACCATTATGAAGCGAGCTGTTAAGAGCGATGGTGACCAGTGTTGCTGGCCATAAGCAAAAGGACGGGTAGACCAAGAATCTTCGACAGAGACCCGCAAGGCCAAAACCCATGAGATTGGTGGATATAGCAAGCAAAATCTGGTACCCAAAAGACTTTGCGTAAGACTGTCCAAAATACTTGTCGAGCCATCCGGTGAAGACTATTGACGGTAAGCAATTGACGGTATGGACCTGGAAGAGGATACGCACTAATATATCTCGAACTAGGCAAAGTTTTCCCAACGCTAGCCATGATTGATATAAGCATGTGCTCCTTCTTGTTGAAAGGACCAGGATTCAGGCTGTGTCTGACGCCAAAGACAGTAAACCCGATGTCAGGGAGGACGCGCTCAGCGAACTTTCCAACAGGATAGGACAGAAGCTGCACGACCGGGGCTTGGACAAAGATCGTCGGCTGGCGGACACTGAACAGCTGATTGATGAAGGCAATGACGACAACAAAGAATAAACCAATGATCCAAGCACGGATGGTTCCACATGGCAAGTTTGGATTGTCGTGAGGATCGACGACGGCACGGACCTCTGCATAGGGACTGTTACCGGTGAGTAGAGCGACCTCGATCTTAGCTTCTTCTATTTCCTTCCTATGATCATATGGTGATCGTAAAAGGGCGTCATTCTGCAGGAATGCAGAAAGGCGGTCGATTGTGCCGTGTGCTATATTTGGGTCGGAAATGTGAGCCTCGACGAGCTTTTGAGCGTGCTGCATTGCTTGTTAGGGCTCCGTAGATCTGACCCAATTGACTAGCAGATAATACCTGGCGAGCGTCTTCAAGAGTTAAAGAGCGAGCTTGCTCTTGAGCATCTAAGATGTCTTCAATAGTGGCGGAAAAGAGTCTGTACAGGCACAAGTCAGGGACAGCACAGAATGTATTAAATGGGTTAGCTTACTTGGCTAGTCTCTCTCCGTCGAGCTTCACGTCGAGATCATTAGCCTGTCTAACTGTCAGGGACTGTGATTGATACGAGTAGGTGGAATTTGTCGTTTATACCTGCTCCTCTGCGGGCACAGTAGTGATCGCCTCCTCGACTATGGCGAACTTTTCAGACGGAACTGCCATCACGAGGGCTCCTCTAATCAGGCCTTTAAGTGGGGTAATAAAAGCGATTAATTTGTCTTAAAGACCAAGATGGCTTTTCCGTTGATCAATCGCGGGCGATGGCATGGGGATAATATATAGGCCATATGCTTCCCTGCTATACGAATTCTACTAGAATACTTCAAATTTACCTTTTGTTATTAGACGACTTTCTACAATCGGCTTCATGGGATGTCACACCAACCCCACAAAGGTTCCATATGCCCTCTAGAGTGTTGACCTCTTCCAACGACAGGATTGCGCCATTCATCAATGATTCGCCCGAACTTCATTCTAATTTCATGAGAGTATTACTTTCTTAAACTGCGGCGTCGTAATAGCCATCAAGCCATATATCAAAATATTTCGTAATAGAGTGCGACGGGGGTTGCAAGGAGTCGTATGCTTGTTTCGTTGAATGAGGTGGCAGTAGAGTTATGATTTTAACCCTCTTGCGATTAAGATTACCGGTTCTGGTGTCTCTCCGCCCGAGCCGGAACCCACTCGCGATTAACATTTCCCTCTTTGGTTGTGCTCCGTCAGTTGGGCCTCGCATGATGCACTTTTTCGAACGAATGGCGACATGGCGCAAGAACCCAGCCGAGCAGCGGCGAAAACCCGAGGAACAGAAACACTCGGCTCTCATCACTCCTACCAGACAGATCTGATATTTTCTAATATACCTAAGAGAAAAAGAATAAAGTTCAACAGCAATGGAAGCTGCCAGAGCCCGACAACTCAACACAATGAATACGAAAACCTTATAAAAGAGCCTTTTGCTAGCCTTTTTCTAATATACTAATGAACTTTCGCCATTGCCACATTCGCTGAGGTTGGACTGTCCGAAGCTGAAGCATACGGTCGAAACTTCATGTTAGCAGGCCTACCTTCAAACTCCCATAGTATTCTTATTACACTAAAATCGGTATGTGGCCACAGAAAACCTTCTCATTGAACAAAGTATCACTCTAGAGAAGGTAAATATGCAAAATACATTGCGTAAGTCACCAGCCATTAGCTTTATTGTCGCATGTTAACACACTGCTTCTCATCCGTTTAGTATTGGCTTCTATAGAAATAGCGAAGATTGCTGAGCGTATTTTTAAGCTTCATTTACATCACATGTAATCTTTCAATAGACGTTCAGATAAGTCCCACAGCCTTCCACCGGTTCCGCGCCTTTCAAGTCCATCAATCACGGCTTGAGATTCAGCACCCCAACGGCCCCATGGCTCGATATAACGCCCATTTTTACCCCCTGCATCTACCATTGACGTATCCACCTCTTGATTGAATCCTGCAAAGAGCTCTGTTAATCCACCAAAGTGCTGATCATAAAGCAGAGGCGAGGTGATGGCCCTAAAAAGCTTCGGTTGATTGCGTTGAAATTCCGATTTTACGGATCCAGGATGCAAGGAGAGCGAAACGAGACCCTGAGGCCCAAACCGACGCGCAAACTCGTGAGCATGTATGACGTTCATTGCCTTGCTTTGGCCATACTTTAGCATGCCGCCTTTGAGTCCGCCAACTGAGTGCATGTTGATGTCGTCCCAATTGACACCATCTGGGCCGGGCGCGCCACGATGACCAGACGATGTGACCCAGATGACTCGGGTGGAATTTCTGAGCGCATCTGAGCGAGCTGCAGTCTCTATGCATAGCGGTGTCAGGAAGTGCTGGAACAGAAATGGGCCCAAGGCGTTGACTCCTAGATGGGTTTCGAAGCCTTGGGGTGTTGCACTCCCTTGCGGTGCGCCGCCTATACCAGCATTGTGCCATATAACATCCAGACGGGACTCTTGTGACAGAAATTCTGCCGCAGAGGCTTTGATTGAAGCCAAGTCGTTGAGATCGAGCTGGAGAAAGTCAATTCTGCCCTTGCCGCCTGTGACGGTAGCGTGCGAAGCGGCGGGTTCGGTTTTGATTTTTTTAATTGCGGCTTGAGCTTTATCAGGTGATCTTCCTGCAATGTAGACATGTCCGTTTAGATTGAAAACAGCCTTGGCAGTCTCATATCCACATCCTGATGAGCCACCGGTGACGATGAAGACTCGGCCATATTGGTCGGGGATATTCCTTTCGGTAAAAGCTGGCTTGGGGGGGAAAGACTCGCGCCAAGTAATAGCCGACATTTTTGAATTCCTGACCTTGCAAGAATGAAGGACTGTATTGTTCCTCATAGTGATCACAACCCTACTTATAGGTAGCTTGGCTGAGAACTTGACTTGAGATGACTGCCAATCTCAGGGTATCATCCAGAGAGTTGAGTGAGAAACCCGCGGCCTCTTCATTGATCCCTGCTGCCGCGGCCGCGGGTTAATTGTGGAGCACTGGTAATTGGCGTCTCACTCTGCATGATGCCTGCAGGTTCCAGGCAGGACGAAGTGATAGCTCGACTTTGTCTCCATCTTAATCCATTTCATTGTCTAACTGCTCTTATTCGCTATGAATATGGATACATCTAATCGGAATTAACAGTATTATCCGGAATCCCCGCCTCTTCTGCAGGATAACAAGGGGCTGCCGTTAAGTAGTGAAGTGTTGGAAATGCATGACACAGGTTATTCCACCATGCATACTTTTCCAACTCCAACAGGGAAAGAATTACCCAATACTGCCGAAGTTCCCACCCTAGTTCGATTTCCTTCCCCGTGTCGTGCCCGTTATTGGTTGGTCCGAGGAACAGCTGGCCATGGACATTGCAATCTGAGATGCTAATAGTATAGGGTAACCGCTAAGTAGTTGCCCACTGCCTCGCCCCCCATGAGGATCACAGAAGAGAGAAAACAGTCTCGTTCACTCGATGGGCGGTGAAAGTCGATTGGAGACAGTGGATGATCATAGATATCATGCTAGTGAATGTCGCATCAGAGAGGGAAAGTTTCGTAGTAGTGCTTTGAAGCGATTGCAGACTACATACTACATGCACGACCATGACCTACTGAGCTTCTTGAATTTTTTCCTCATCCTTCATGAAAAGGTTTGTCTCTTGTTGACAACTCAAGAGTAGACATATCGGACCCAAACCAATTCGCGTTAAAGGTGCAGATCTAAATCCTCTCGCGGGAACATTTCGTTTTCGGTATCTACCAGAATCTCTGGGTCCTCACATAGACACTGTAGATACATAGCTAAAGATGTTTAGTTGCAAATCTCCAACAAGGTCTTCATCGAGAGAGTACCTCCTATTCCCCACCGTGTTTTTAAAGCTTTCAAATTGAATCGAATAGTGGCTACATCGGAATCCGTAAGGCTTATCTGCTGATGTCTTTGAGAGGATAACGCAAGAAGCATCGCTGCAGAGCAAACACAACAAATGCCGACGAGAGACATTGTGGAAGCATCGTTCGTCTGTAAGATGTAACTTGCGGTTCTGTTCATGTCCAATACCATGCGTTGAGTTGTTTCTAAAGCGATACAATGTTCTCGAGTGCTGTGGCCTTTGAGCTGGCGAGTTGCCCGGAACAGCTGTAATAACAACAACGAGCTGCAGTGGGATCCGCCTTAGCTTCAGTAGTGGTTCTATATCAGTGATCAACTTACCTGAGAGCCAGGGCGATGCCCTCGCAAAACTTTGTGCTAGCGGTGCCAGCTTCTTCGATCATGTTGCAGGCAATGAGGCTAATCTGCTTCTCAAGGTCTTCGTACGGTATTGATAGAGTTTTCCCGGCTGTCGCTTATGCCACATGCTCGAATATATCGCCGACGATGATTGATACACGGTATAGCATTGAGAAATTGGATGTTCCCTTTCCGAGGTCCAAAAATCCTCCTTCACCTCTATGTTGACTTGTAGAGGTTGGCAATATGCTTGAGCTATAGATGGACTCCCAAAACAAGGGGTCTGCTTGGAAAGGCGCTTGTGTTGTCATAAAGGCATTGATAGTCCTAGAAAAGGTAATTAAACTGGACACGATTCCATTAGCGAAGCTGCTTGATTATGACCACGACAAAAGGGAAACAGGCGGAGGCCTCCTACCGATCAAGAAGCACAAGCACCTGCCAGCAGCCCCAGATCTCCGACATGTCCTTTCCCGAACTTGGTTCTCGATCACATCTGCCTCCAACCATATTTTTATATAGCGCTAGACAAGAACTGAGAGTATGGTGGGCATTTTCGGTGAGTCCATGACCAAATTCATATACTGTGATAAGGAGACCACTCTGGAGCAGCCGGGTTGGCCCAATCCTCGATGTTTGCATGAGTAGAAACATTTGCTTGGTGGTTAGATACAGAGGGTTGTGAGCAACGTGATTCACGTGCTCGCATAGAGGGTTGGATGCAAGATACATGGAGAGCAGTAGGTGGCCATGGTTTCCTAGATTAGTAGGAATGGTCAACGACAAGAAATGTTGCATGTCTTCCCGGATGATCGGAAACCAAGGATGTACTTCAGTGTAGTATCTTTTCACGACCTCTGAAACGCCCGATCCGTTACTGAGAAACAGTTCGCAGCCCAGCTGTGTAGCTGTGCTCAAACACCCCGCACCAGTCCCCCCGAATGCAGCCTCCGAAGCGACTTGGACGAGAGACATCCGACTGTGAGACAAAAGGTACCAAATGCATGGTTCTTGACTCCTCCATGTTGTAGAAAGCTGCTCTGAACTGAAGGGCCCAAGGCTAACATTTGCGGAATAGTCACATCGTAAGAGTTTTCTATTCCGGCGCAAGTGATCAACAACACGCTGCGGTGCATGATATTCCTCCCATATCATTCTACTAACCTGGCGCACCTTGAGCAAGTGGGTAGTAGTTTGTCGCATCGTTGCTTGCCAACTCGGCATTGGCGGCAGACACCTGATGCCTGAGCTACAAGTGTGACTTCGGTAGGATCCATGTCTAAAAAGCTAGGCGTACTGTCGCGCGACTGCATCGGCCGATGCAGAAGAAAGGGAGATGGTAATTTTTGGTATTCCAAGAAGGGTTGAGCATTATGATTGATTACAAATCCGTCTCGCGGAGTTACATAAGGTCACAGCGGAATAATGAAGAGTCAAGCCACTGTGGGATACTAAAGAATTATCTGCTATGCCCACTAATTGTGATTCTTTATTAATATTATTTATCTCATAGACTCAAAGCTCTTAATTGATCTTAAGGTTATAATTATGATATTTTTATTTTTTAATTTCACATTTCATCTCTTTAAAAGATCCATCACCGGTTGGCTTGACGCGATCACATCGAATCTGAGATGGATGAATATAAATGGACTCTAGGCCATCGGAGAGTTGCAATGATCTCCGGCAGTCACCGAAGGGGCTTGATGGGAGCTTATTACCTTACGCAGTCTTGCGGCTAAAACACTGTTTTTGTTGCTTGTATCAGAATGCTGAGCGACTTCGAGAGTTCGAAGACTGGCGCCAGGCATGTCACTGACACTCACCGCTATGTCATTGAGACCGCTGGAGGGTTGGATAACTGGATCCATGTTGGATGCGAAATTGGACATGCCGATTAACGGCCGTTCTTGTTATGGCTGAAAAGCCGAGTTGCCTGTGAGTGTGACGCAATCGAGTTTCATCGCGGCGGATAAAGTGGCATGCTCGGCCTCGGACGGACATTTCATGGTGGGGAATATGATTTGTCAGTGCTCTGATTGATTGAGGTATCGCATGATTAGAGTAAATGCATGTAGAAGAAAGCCATTGATTAGATATACTAGAGCCTAGGCCGAGGCCGCGTCGGAGTTATCGACTCTGATTCCTCGACTGGTTCACTAATGACTTGGGTTGGCTGATATTAGTGAACGTTTCGTTCCCGTGTATAAGTACCTCTGGCCCGGCTGCTTGTATTCTCTCAAGTCTTAACCGCTTCCATCGCCTCAAGATTCAGAGTCGATATCTACTACAGCAGTCACATCATTATTTACATTCCCGCCTCAACCCCTGTACATCAATCATGCTCATTTTGGTCGCTGGCATAACCGGCTTCGTCGGCATCCCTGTTGCTGAAGCCGCCCTTGAGCGTGGACATCAGGTGCGAGGCCTGGCTCGCAATCCTGACAGACTTCCTAAAGGCTTGCTGGGGCGGCTCGAAAGCTTCGAGATTCTGTCCGGCACCCACGATATTGCCGCAATGGAGCGTGCTGTTGCTGGCGTTGATGCCGTCGTCAGCACCATTTCCGCCACCTCTGAACTAATAATGGAAACACAAGTGCTGCTTCTGAAGGCAGCAGAGCGGGCTGGTGTGAAGGTATGGCCTGCCAGGGCTTTGTAAACCAGAAAATATTAATCTCCCCAGTACTAATGGAAACAACATTTAGATTTTCCATGCCAGCTCCTGGAACCTCGACTGGACGCGATCTCCCGGTACCCATGAGGTTTACGACTCGCTCGCTCACTTCGCTCATCATGCCTCGATGACCTCCAGCATCAAGCCCATCTACATGTTCACCGGTGCGATTGCCGAGTGGGTCTTTGTTCGAAGCGCGAAGGACTGGGACCGCGAGAACAAGACGTTGTCTTACCATGGAGACTCGACATTCAAGTCCCGTTACACCACCGCCAATGACATCGCCAATTACGTACTCGAGGCCATTACTGCGCCAGATGCAGCCGAGGGAGGCTATCTCAGAGTGCAGAGCTTCGAGGCCTCCCCAGAGGATGTTGTCGAGGCATACAATGCGGCGAGGGGAGGCAGCACCAAGGCTACCCACAAGTGCCTGGGTTCTCTGGAGGATGCGAAAGCAAAGCTGGATGAGGGGAGAGCCAAGTATACGAAGACGGAGTGGTGGAATTACGCCTGGTATATCTACCAGTACTATATTCCGCTGCGCGCTTGGGATTACGAGCCCGTTGATGTTGCTCGCTTCCCCAATGTGAAGCAGACGACTTTGGAGGAATTCTTCCGTCAGAACCCCGATGTTTAAGCCATGGCGCTGATTTGGCGAATCGTTTTCGCTGTCTGGTCGCAACTTGCTGGCATGGTTAATTACATTAGTCCGGTACGACCAGGTTGATAGCTTAGCCAGACTGTTCGCTCTTGGGGGCTAGTGCTTTACTAGTGTAAATCACCAGGAAGAATAGCGTTGTGAGGATGTTGGAATACCAATTTTGAGGCTGCGAGAATATTTATACTGACCATTTAATCTAAACCAATAAAAGAATGTTGTGTGGCTGTTGAGGGTTGTTACCCGTGAATGCCGTTATTTGTCCTATAAACTAAAAAAAAAAAAAAAATACTACTAAAAGCCTAGGGGAGTAGAATTAGCAATTATGGCAGTCATTTTGCTAATATCTCACCCTATCAACCCGCAACAATCTGATTTGTGAGCTCAAGCGGCTCCACCCCGTCTAATAAAAAGACAGGGAACGGCCGATGCAGATATGCACCTAGTCTGTCTAATGCGAGAGCAGGGAACGGCCGATGCAGGAGTGGTCCCACGCGGCCTATGACTAAAAAGCCTTGCTATGTGCGAGAGGCCACCCGATTCTAAGTGCCGTGACTTCGGCGTTTACCAGGCCGAGTAGAAACGTACCTAATGATGGGAAATGGATATAAAAACTCTCAAGACCGTCTACGGTAGTGGTGGGAAAGGCAGTATCAGCGACTTAGCAACCTGTGACTCTACCCGCCTTGAAGTAGATCCTAATGTCCTTCAAAATGCCTCCGATCAAGAACGTGGCAGTTTTCGGCGTAAGTCGCACCACTTTTGCAGACCACTGTCATCTAGCAGGCATTTATTAACACAAAGGGCGGGATAGGCGTCTGGAAGGGTTGGTAAGGTCGTCGTTCCCGCTCTGAGATCGGCAGGGTTCAGCGTGACTGCCATTGCCAGACCGGATTCGGATGCAGCCTATCCCTCGGATCTGGTAGTTAAGCGTGCTGCATATGATGATTTCGATTCTCTGGTGGCTATACTTCGCGGGCATCATGCTATAGTGGAAGCCTTCAACCCCGCCGCGGCTGAGATGCAAACCACAATTGTGAAAGCCGCATTGGCTGCTGGGGTTTCGCATCTGATCACTCCAGACTTTAGCAGCGACACTTTCAACCCCCATGCATCTGAAATCATGATCTTTGGGCCAAAACTCAAAGCCCAGAAGGAGCTGGAGCGGTTGACTTCATCGCCCGATTGCCCCTTGTCATGGACCGCCATTATCACGAATGGGTGGTATGACTGGGCTATAGATGTTGGCGTGTTCTGGATAAACAAGGTGGATCGAACCATTTCGCGCTTTGGCTCTGGGGACCAAAAGTATGCCATGAGTCGATTAGAAATCTGCGGTGAAGCCACAGTTGCAGTGTTGCAAGAGCCGGAAAAGTTCCGCAATCGTCCCGCCTACTTTGCCCACCATACCGTATCTAATAACGACATCATTTCGATCATCAGAGAGATCATCCCGCAGGAAGAATGGAAAGTACTTGATGTTCCAGTCAAGGATTTTCTGGGTGAGGGCTTGAAACTTTGGCATGTGGACACAGAGAAGGGTGTGACCAATCGGCTTGGAACCAAAGCATATGAAATGCTGGGAACAATTGCCATATTCGACGAGGATAACCGCTTCGGAGGAGATTTCGGTGAAAAGGCGGAGCCGGATTATGACGCTGGCTTGGACAGTTTGAAGCAGGATCTGAGGCGATTGCTGACATCCACTTAACTGTCTGCGGTTCAGGGCTAAGACTTGGGATCAAGTGACAACATCAGCGCCTAGATTGAGCAATCATCTAGTTTCTAGCCCTACTGCAATAGATTTGAATCATTTGACACTACATTGTGCTATTAAGTATACGAAAAGTGGCTTCTACACAGTAGTGGTCTCGTACTCGTACATGCTTCTCGTCGAATTTTTCCCAGGGTCTCGGGGAAATTGAATCCTGGAAGCTCTTCAATAGGCTTCGGTTGATCTTCCTTTTATTAGTGATGTTTGATCTCGCAAGAACAGTGCAAGTGGCAGATGAAGGAGCGTGGTGCGACTAGACGCGAGTGTCTGGCGCATCCGAGCCACCCTTCTTCGCCTAAGTAGGAAAGAGTGGACAGCAAACTCATAACTCCGAGAGCTCTAGAAAGGAGATCATCTACGTACCTTCGAATGAAACTTTAGTCAGTACTCCCTAGATACTCCAGAGTGTGTTTCCAAGCCCAGGCTTGAACATGTAGCTTATAGAATCGTGGTACTAATGCACCCGAGTGGATCTAATGCTGGCATGTCCGAGATCCGGAAATTAAGTCCAGAGAAGTCCTCTGCCTTTAAATACGCCTTCAACATACCAAGTTTCTAGTCAAACAATCATATCCAACATTCAATCTGAACTCAAGCAGCAGCCATCATGACTTCTCGACCAGACTTTGATAAAAGTACAACCTCGGAAGAGGTTGTTGCAGCGTTTTCCCATCACATCGCCGGGACAACAAGTAAGCTTTCGTCAACCGAGACATGTATTCCCTTCCGTAAGCTAAGAGACGCAGTACTTATTACCGGAGTCTCCTCTAATGGCCTCGGTGCAGCCATGGCAATGGCCCTTGCTTCAGAGCATCCTGCTCGGTTGATTTTCACAGCTCGGCAAATCGCAAAAGCAGACGAGGTGGCCCATGCTATCAAGACTAATGTGAAAGATCCGCCATCAATACTTTCATTGGAGATGGACCTGTCCTCTTTTGAATCTGTTCGGGCGGCCGCCAAAAGGCTGTTGGAGCAAAAAATCACCATCAATACCTTGGTAAATAATGCGGGAGTGATGGCATTGCCAAATCGAACGCTATCCGTCGATGGCCATGAAATGCATTTTGCGACCAACTTTCTCGGACATTGGCTTTTCACCAATTTAATAGCATCCAACATGGCTCAAGGTGGACGAATCTTGAATGTTACATCCGGGGGCTACATGATTTGTCCCATCCGCTTTCATGATATCGAGTGGGAGGGCGCAGAGGCACTACCCCAAGAAGAGCAGCCAGATTTTGCCGCAGCAAGGAGCTTGGGAATCGGATCTCTCACATCGCCTGGTAATTATAATGGTATGCTGGCGTACCTGCATTCAAACGCGGCAAGTGTGCTGCTCTCTGTCGGGCTCGCAACACGCCTCAAGAGCCAGGGGGTCTCGACACTCAGTGCAGCCCCGGGAGGTACGGTATCGTTTCACCAATCTACTTTGTTGTTCGAAATTAACGATTTGGTCCACAGTGGTTGTTACGGAGTTACAACGGCATATCGGCGGTTTTCGGAATGCAACTATGGAATATAAGACTGCGACACAGGGGGCCGCCAGTCTGCTTGTTGCAGCCCTTGACCCTGCTCTCCAAAGTAAGAACAGCCACTCGACACTCACCTCCTACGAAAGAAAACCTAGTAACACGACGAAAAACATAGGTCACGGCGGTGAATATATCAACGATTGTCAGCTTACGGAGATCACATCTAGTCACGTTCAGGACGAAGAAGTGGCGAACAGACTTTGGGCGGTTGCGAACAAAATGACTGATTGCAATTTTTGATTCATTGGTGGCCTTTGGATAGTTGTTATCGGGTGTCATAGCGGAAGATTGTCAGCTAAAGAAGAGTACATAGACCTTACTTCGGGTTCCTGGAGCGGCTGACCTCATCCGTAGTTGAAGAAGCGAGCTGTATGTACATTGTCAGGGATGGAGGACCCTGCATCAGGCTAGACTGGCATTACTACACGTGACAATCGATGGCCTGCAATTCCTGGTCTCCGTAGCTGCAGTTCGAGAGCCATCTGAAACTGTTTCAATTTCAAACCTGGGTGCCTCAACTGATTGAATATGGAAAGCACTGGTACATCAAATATCCCAGCCTGTGAAGCCTGTCGGCTAAAGAAAAGAAAATGCGACAAGGCCCATCCTGCATGCTCGCAGTGTTCATTGTAAGCAAAATGCTCATGCGCTGCTAATCATTTGAATGGCTTGTCTGATCGCCAATGAGATGTAGGCGAGACCACCCCTGCACTTACATTCACGGTGTCCGATCCGGCAAGAGGAGGCGACAATGCTCATCTCCTTCGAATGAATATACCGTCATTACGGAACCGGATGATCCCCGAGCTTACATTACATCCTCACTGCCGGATGCCGCGGGGGCTCTTCAAGATAGCTTTCCCACAGTCGCTTTTGTTGATCAATCCATCCATAACGAGTTGCGCACACAGGTCCCTAGGGCCCCTTCCTCGCGGGATTTCCATCTCTTCGCATTGAGGCTATTAGGAGAGAGTAAAGCCGAGATGCTGACCTATGTTTCATCGTATTTTGGCGACGTACACATTTGGCTGCCTGTCTTACCTAAACAACAGATTTATGCTTATTTAGAAACGTCTAAATGGGATCTGCCAGTTGATGTCGCCTTGCTCTTCCTTTGCATTAGACTTCTTGTCTCCAGTCCTGAAACCTGGCCTGCCGGCCCTCGATCCAGTATCTACATAACGGCGAAACAAGGCTTGGCTGGATTAGAGATCGGCGGCATTCTGTCCGAAACTGCCCTTCAAGCCGGTCTCTTGATCTCACTCTATGAGATGGGGCATGGGATATATCCATCTGCCTTTCTAAGTGCCGGAGCCTGTGTGCGCTATTGTCATGCCATCGGCCTGGGAGGGCCACAGGAATGCCGACTGCAACGACCCTTGAGCCGGTTCGATCACGAACAGAGCCAGAAACTTTGGTGTGCCGCCATTCTTTTAGAGCGGCAAGTCCCCCCTGGTTTACTTCATTCCACATCCCGCCGAACCACCGGAAGTAACATTGTTTCAACCGGCGGTCAAGGTGAGCTAAAAGGCGACAGTGCACTAACATATATGTAAAAACCAGATTTACGCAACTGGGCCGCTTGGCACCGATACCGTCGACTGGCAATCTGCCGGATAGCAGAGCCGTGCAGATGTTTGGTAACGTATGGTTCATTCTCCACAAGACAGTAATGTAAACTAAGATTTGACCTGAGTCCGAAAGCATTCTGGCACACAGCACTTCAAGTAGCGGCCAGGAAAGAAGCAGAGACGAGGGTTGCTTTGTTCTGCTTGTAGAATCTACTAAGCTTCTCGGACAAGTGCTTTCATACATTTCCTCTAGAGAAGCAGAAGCGGCTGTTGGCGGCTTGTCGACAAAAGCGCAAGATGAACATCTACAGCTTGGTCGAACGATACAATCCCTAATATTGGCAGCAGAAGATGAGGCTACCAAATACGGTGTTGACATTCGAAGCCAGCTCTGCGTCTGTTACAGGTAGGTATTCTCCTACATGATGAGTCTTTGTACAGTACACTCTAATGGTTTTAGCTCCATACTTGCTTTACATCAACATGGACAGATGCGAGGCCATGGTGATAGTTCTCCACAGCATTCAAGAGAACAATTGGATTCATCTCTAGGTCTTGTTATGGACAGAGTCATCGAGCTTTGTGAGATGATTCTCCAAAAGTCCGAGCCCGAATTTCAGTCCATACCTCCCTTCCTTCTTCATAGCATATACGGCGCTGCAAGGGTGGCCTCGTCGGATCCACCAGAAAGATTAAAGGGGTGCGAATCCATCTTTCGCAGCTCACTGCAAAGGCTTAACATGAGGTGGAAGGTTGCAGGTACAACAATGTCTCCGGATCCGTCAACTTGTTCCGTATCGCATATGCTAATAGTAATTCAGGTGTATACATTGAGTCTTTAGAGACCTTAGACGTTTTACATTTATAAAATCTTATAGTATTTAGTATTCAGTCACGGTTAGGTGTTACAATATCCAGTGATAAAATTAAATGTAGGTTTCAACTGATTTTACTTATCTTTAGTCTTTGTTTGCCAATTCAATGGATTAAAAAAATCTTCCATTTTGGCTTGCTCACTATTATCTTGACTATACTGTAGAACTAGTTTCACTGGCAAGGAAATATCGAGGAAACTCATCAACATTCTTCACCACTCAAGGGCGGTGGTATTCTTTGCACAAGCCAATCCTGAACAAAAGCTGATATCCTCCGCCGTATCACCAGAGCTTTCAGAAACAGCCTGTCGAGCGGGCCATATTTCCTGGCTGGCGGCTTGCTCCAGCTTCCGGTGGTCATTCAGTACCTGTCGTACTCGACTCTGGAAGTACAACGGGCCCTGTTCCATTCGAGGATGCATCTCTCCGTTGATGAAAACCCCGGCATTGAGATTCTTCTGGGCATTGTTGCAAAGCCACTTATCTTCACTCAAGATTCGTTTGAACATCTCGTCAATTGTCTTGAAGTCTTCGTCGCTGGCGCTTTTGTGCCGGTACACCTCGTACTCCATCGAGCAGTGGTTAGAGGAGGTGGGGACGCATCTCATCATGTAAAAGAAGTGCGGTCTAAGTTGATTAGCAGGAGTTCGGAATGGGAGATAGTTTGGTATACTCACGTAACTGTCATGCAGGCGTTGGGGAAATAATAGTTGGATACGAGATTATATACATCTTTGACCTCAGTGGTTGCTGTATCAGGCAAGTGTTCGATGTGCCCGCCTTCCACTTCGACCCTATACTTGTCAAGGTCGGAGAGGCCCAAAGTATCTGGATGCGTCGTTTTGCAATGATAACATTCATTGTAGTTGTCTGCCAAGGTCTTCCAGTTATAGTCGCCGCTCATCTCCCAGGTATGGTCGAAATGATAATCGTCAAAATTGAATTCCTTGTGTCTTTCGAGCTTATCAATGTTGTCAAATTCTTTTCCAAACGGCTCTGGGTTCTTTGAAGCATCTAGATTCACCCAGATGAAACCGTGACCATCCACGTGGACATGAATGGGAAACAATCCATTCTTTGTTTTATCGAACCCTTCCATATCGAGATAGCCAGGCGCTTTGGCAAGTTGGCCACTAAGTCCATAGGACCAGCCATGATATTTGCAGGCGAGTACCAATGATTTGCCCTTTTCCTCTGTAACTATTGGAAACGCACGGTGGCGGCAAACATTGTGGAATCCGTTAATCTTCCCCTTGTGGTCCTTAACGAGAAAGAACTGGAATCCAGCTTCCTCGAATCGAATCCACGTGCCGTTTTCCACGAATCTCAGCTTGTGCGTAATAAGAATCCATTTCTTTGAGAAAATTGCCCGGCGCTCAAGTTCGTAAACCTCGGCCGATCTGTACCAGGACGATGGGAGGGCCCGGATAGTAGCCGTTTTTGGAGCAGGCTTTAGGAATAATGATTTAGGCAGTTTTGCTAGAGCTAATTTTATAGCGAGCGCAAAGCTGCCAAGAGCTAGGGCAACAATAAAGTTGGTGAAAATACAGGGTGGGATATTAAACTGCATGGTCGGATATTGAAATCGTCTTGTGGTATGGCGATGGTTCAAGCAAAAGCACGAGCAGACTGAACATTGTTAGCATTTTTCATATCGACTTATATCCTTTGATCATGGGGACTGCATACTATCTTCAGGGAGACAAAGGCCGGATTCTCCCCGATGGGGGTGACCGATAACGGTCGAGGGATCGAGGTCACGTGATCGGATATTCCGTGTTGCTGAGTGCAGCCAGCACCAGCACAGGACGTCTTTGAATTTAGAAGAAGAGCTCAGAATAGGGAGAGTAGAGCAAATAGCGTAATGCATCGACGTCGGTGTTTCATTATTCGGGGCTCCAACATCGAGTAAGCTTATTCCCTCATAGTCACAGTGATTGGCACTAGCAGGTTGGTATCTAATAGATGTTGATTGATCCAACTGAACTACTACTTCAAAATAAATATCATCTTTAAAAATTTAATGGAAGTTATGTTGTCAGATCATTTAATCACAAGGTAGTGAAATCCCACCATTCCAGCCCTGGCCCAAAACTGTCTCCAACATTCCCAACTTGTCCCCAAGGACCCCAAGCCAAATTAAAGTCAGTTTGGTCATACTGCCCATCTGACATCATTCTGTTGAAAGACTGGTGGAATGCTTCTTGCTGTGCCACTGACAAGTGTGAACGTGGTCCTGATACTGGTGTCTCGTCTGTTTGTGATGACATCCACTCAGGCGGCGAAGCGTAATGTCCCGTCGACTCCCGGATTCTCGCCGGAGGTGTTCCAATGTCTGAGCTGTTCAGCATGATCTCATCATGGCCATCTTCTGTGGTGCCACATTGAGACTCGCTGGCGTAGTGCGGAAACTGGGGCGCGGCGATGTCAAGAAGTAGCCACTTGAGAGCCATTGTAGGCTTCGCCTTGGTCGATCCGAGGCGTTCAGCTTGGATTGGCGATGGTGTTACAAAGTTTTTGAACAAATTTAGGGATTGCTCCTTGAGACGCAAATGATCAATAACCGAGCCAAGAATAGTAAAGAATCAAAAGCACGTACAATAGTTGCACAAACCGGTAGGTATGTGGCCATTTCGAATATGACTGTTTGACAGATTTCGAGATTCTCCAAGGCTCTCGTTCTCACACTAGAATCGTTCACACGCGCCCAGTATAGATTCAATGTCGCCGCAATGCCTGCTGCCTGAGCGAAGAATGGGTCATCGATCTGCAGCTGTTTCTCTCTAGGTAATCTTAGAAGCCGGGACACCCAATTACAATGTCGGAGCGCTTTTTCCGAAGACTCTCTCCAAAATGTAGTCTTGCCGAATTTCTGTTTCGAAACCTTGGACGAGAAGAGAAATGGGTGATTGAGCATACAGAGAATAGTATGGTATGCAACCTGCATTCGCAACCAGGGGAGCCAGTCGTGTCGGTCCCTCTGCACCTCCTCTTTAGATAACTCTGCAAACCGTACATTATTGTAACTCAACTCCGTTCGGTGGGTTACTTCAAGATCTAAAGAGCGTGAATAGAGGGCGTGGTAGTCAGAGTTGATGTTCCATGGAGCTTCCGTAGACCCCTCCATGCATCTGGAAATGAATACTCTGACATCACCCCACAAACTGCCAAGTCGTGCACAATGTGCCCAAACGCCAAACAAGTTACCCCCATTCTCCAGAGGAACTGGTGGGCAGGCTGTCTTACCATTCCTCGATTCCGCCGTTGAGAAACATGAGCTCTTGATGCCATCCGCCAAAACCGGAATCAGAATCGGGGGACCATAAAATCTGTTCAGCAATGCGAGACTCCAGAATATGCGTGGCCTTTCGTCGAGACTGTACACGCTATCCGAAGAATCTGAAGTGATAGTTGCATATTGCATGAGATTTTGGGCAAATGACATATTCAGACCGGCAAGGGGGATATTGCCCGCTATTTCATATTGTAAGTCCGTCCTAGCTTTGCCCCAACAGTGATTGCAATTGGTGGTTCCTGTAACTCACAAATCACGTTGAAAAATGACAGTAAGCAAAGTACTTTAATGCTTTGTAAATCCGAATTTCCTTCTGCTATATCGAGCATGATTCGTCGCCTAGCTTGGTCATAATAGTAGGTAGCACTCTGCAAACCTGGGTCGTTGAATTCTCTGGGAGAATAGGAAAGACTCAAGGCAAGTATGGCATAAGTCAGTTCCTCGGACGTATCGGGAGGCGGAGAGACGCTCGATTCGAAAAGCCACAAGGGTTGACGATGGATACGCTCAAAGTATACTTCAAATGCTTTTCGCACATGGCTCGTCTGTAGTGTTGATCTGTGTATGTTAGCCTGCTATATATCCGGATCATGAATGAACCCTACACTGGCGTTGCAGGACACGCTGAACCAGGTAAACTAGTTCTCGGACCAGCCGCTGAGCTTGGTGTCGCATCCTTTGCTGGTCCAAGTCTACAATTACCAGTCAGCTCTCGATTAGGTTATCGAAGACTATGATAACATACTCGAACTTATCATTCAGAGTGTTGAGCTGTGCCTCAAGCAGTCGAAGGCGGCTGATCTGGTACCGTCAGCAAGTGTCCGGTGTTTGTATGGAGCTTTCACTTACCACATCCTCATTTGAAGGTTGCTCCGCGTCATTCTCATTGCCATCATACAAGCATCTTTGGTCCAAACGTGCACAGGTAGAACATCTCGGTTTTTGGCCTGGGCACCGAGTCTTCTTCCGACTCCACGGGGTAGTGTCAGTATGGCGATCGTGAGATGACAGGACGGGTAGCTGTACCGGCAGTTGTCACAAGCGATGCCCACGCGTCGATATTGTCTCGATGACCGGGTATTCATGATCCCAGCGGGGTGCTGCTCGTTTGACAAAGTCATCAAACAACGGAGACTATGCACGGTTGTGATGCGGGGAGAGCATCGGAGTTTCCCCCTCGGAATTTCCGACGTCTTTGTCCGCCTGCAGCAGCTAGTGCACAGTAGCGATACCGGCACGGAAATCCCGTGATCAAGTCTGTGTTATCAGTCCAATAGTATTGGGTATCTGCAGGCTCAGGTGTTCTCGCCCCCACCATAAATTGATGTAACTCTCGGTCGTCTCGACACGCTGGACAACTAAAGTCGCATTCATCCCTCATTTCCAATTTTTACAACGCAGCAGTATCATCTTCCACACTTCATCTCGTTACAATAATCCAAACCATGGAGCATTTCGATGTAGCTGTCGTTGGGTTGGGCGCTCTCGGAAGCGCCGCTGCTTACCATGCTGCAGCCAAAGGAGCCAAGGTGATTGGATTTGAACAATTCGAGTTTGGCCATGTCCGAGGCGCATCGCACGATACCTCTCGCATCGTGAGGACATCATACGGAGCCCCCGAATACGTCGCACTGGCTAGATCTGCATACAAGGATTGGGCGGAGCTGGAGAAAAGATCCGGGTTGACACTGCTGACCATCACGGGAGGCGTCGTGTTTTTTCCCAAGGATGGCCCATGCCCTGCGAGTGATTATACCGAGAGTCTGGACGCAAATGGGCTTCCATACGAGCTTCTTGATTCCAAGGATGTCAACAAGCGATGGCCTCAATTTGGTATCCCCGATCGGGTAGATACGGTCTACACAGCAGACACCGGAATTGTCAACGCATCTCGGGCTGTCAATACTATGCAGTATCAGGCTCGTGGGCTTGGAGCCGTGTTGAAGGAGAATACCCGCGTCGATAAAGTAACCCCAGACGCAAAGGGTGTGATAGTTGAGACATCAAATGGCCCAGTTCATGCACGCAAGGTCATCCTCGCCGCCGACGCCTGGATCAATAAGCTCCTGTCGCCTCTTCATGCCGAAATCCCTCTACGAGTTATGCAAGAGCAAATCACGTATTTCAAGCCCACAGATGTCGAACGATTCGACCCTAGCAAGTTCCCTGTATGGATCTGGGGGGCCGAGAAGTGGTTTTATGGCTTTCCTAGCTATGGCGAGCATAGTATCAAAGCTGGACGCGACCTCTCTGAGAACTTGATGACACCAGAGCAGCGCACCTTCACTCACTCGCCGGAGTTAGAGGACGAGCTCTCAAAGTTCATGGACTCCATCATCCCTACCAAAGGTCAAACTCTACGCACAGTCACTTGTCAATATGCCATCACACCTGATCGACAATTCGTCATCGGCCCGCTGGAGGAGCACAAGGATATTCTTGTAGCTCTGACAGCTGGTCATGGTTTCAAATTTGCACCCGCGATTGGACGCGTTCTTGCCGAACTAGCTTTGGATGGAAAGACGGAGGAAGATATCTCCAAATTTGGCATACCAAAGGTAGCACCAACAAGCAAGTTGTGAGAAGCTGTACTTTACTCAGTGGGGCGAGCTATTCTCAGAATATAATACCATCAACATGATTAATCCCCATAGGCTACATCAGCTCTAAATTTTATGACTTTTTAAGCTTTAGGTAACCAACAAACAGAACACAATAGAAATTCCAGACATAAAACTAGCCTTACACAGTGGGTATAGGAATGACTCTAACACGCAAAATTTGAGGTGCACATGATGTGTATGTAGTTTTCTTTTAGCTGTGGGCTTAATTCTTTGCATCATCTCTTAGGTTCGGACGAGCAGACACTATGAAATGTTAAGATATTAGGTTATTGAATCAAGGAGACACATGGATGCCTGGAAGTTGAATGCAGAATCCACTGAGGCGGGTGAGAGAGTTCCAGTACAAAGTAAAGAACAGGACTGAAGATGCCAGACCCGACATCTCAACACAATGAACAATGCGGAATACACTCAAGGTTCACAATTTCAGGCACCGAGGAAACACGTCTGAGTCACTATTTACGGGCATGGAGCAAGGCTTCCGGATATTGTAACTATTTCTCTTGAACTAAAATGATATCGATTGCGTAACTTGATGCTCACATTTTGACTTCTTTTCTTGACAGGAACCTAATCATCCCATCCTTTGTCACATGGTGCAATATCAGACTCGGGCGTTACCCCCTACCTAGGCTCCATCCAAGTAGGACATTGACTATGTTATGATATGATCAGACTCGGGCATAGGGTTGGAGTGGGATCATCCTGATCTCGATCGTCTCCTGTCTCCCGTCTCAGACCACTAAACGCACTCGTAACCATCTACCTAGGATATACTAGCTCTATTCCCGCCTTAGACATATTTAAGCCATCTATTACAAATTTCAATATCATTTGAATACAGATGAGGCACACACAGTCGCCCTTAAGCAGAGCTACATGTTTGCCGAAAACCTCATACTGATCTCCACAACTCTAAAAAGAATTTGCACGCCCGGTGTGTAATATCCTGATGTTACGCACTATGCTCCTGCAATTGATCTAACTTTTTCGGGGACTTATCTGCCTAATTGTGACTGTAGCCATTTTTCCATGCTGTTTTTGACTCAAGGCATACAAATGACAATGAGACAATAGTTAGTGTCATATCTAGCGAAGCATAACTCACCACTCATATTAACTTCGCAGAAAATGTTGGAATATCTCGAGATTTCATTGCCACCGGGCGTGCTGGAACCTTTCCTGCAGAGTCAAAGTCCAGGCCAGTCATTAGGAATAACTTTTCACAGTCAGCTGACTCCCATGATTTTTAGGAAACTTCGAGCCATATGGATTTTTTTAGTGTGCAATAGAACCGTGGCTTGGAGTTACTTCTCAAGCTTGCTGCTCAGGCGAACCACGTTGGGAAAATCTCAAACTTGGGAGCATATTTTACGCCCTGTTTCTTGTTGGATATATAATTTGGCGTCAATAGATGAGTCACAGATCGTTTTCTAAAGGTCATAAGTTACATGTATGCAGCGTGAAAATCTTGATCATGGAAAGTAAGTCTCGAGAGCAAAGTTTAGTCCCCACGAGGTTCCCTGCAATGATTTTTTTCTTCACGGAGAACCACAGATCCAGCCCAACAGATCAGTTCTTAGCGTGTCCAAGAAGTCTATATAAGGACGTCTCTCGACCTGTCTTGTCTCTCATTCTTTCTTCCTGCATCATCCTCTCATTATCACTTTTGATTATTATCATTCTTGACTTGACAGCTTTTGACTTATTACTTTCTCACACCTACTTCAATACTTTCTCACACCTACTTCAATACTTTCTCACTTCTACTTCAAGTCGTGTGAATACAAACATCTCTACACTCGTCACCATCTATCCTCTAGTCACAATGTCTCCTCGAGTTGCCTCTGCTTCTCCTTCTTCCTCCTCATCTTCTTTCTCTCCTTCCTCCTCCTCCTCCTCCTCATCATCCTCATCCTCATACAAACCGCACAAGGCTTCTCAGAAGCCAGACGGTTCTCGAAAGCCACACGGCTTTTCGAGTTGGGAGGAAGGCGACATCGCCTTTCTGAAGCCATGGAATGAGATCGAAAATGACCTTCCACCCAAGGCGTTTTCCTCATTCCGCAAGGCCATCGGGCACCAAAAGCGTGCTTGTAATCATCCTGTCATCATCCTAAAGGCATCACCGGACGGGTCACAGTTCGCAGTGACTACCGTATCCGCCTACAGTTCAAGCCACGACAATGATTGCCTCGCGCCATGGAACCAGCCCCACCACTTCAGAAAGGGAAAGAAGAACTTCCGATCCTTCAAAGGCTCCGAGAGAGCCAATGACCGACCCACCCTCATGCTAGAGGGAGACAAACTGATGCCCAAGCCCCAGCTCAGCTGGGTATACATCCAGTCCATCTTGGTCGTGGACAAGAAGACACTAAAAGTCTTCACCAAGTCACGCGACCATCTTCGACTGACCCCACTGAGCTTGACGGACCTCTGGGCACACATGGCGGCAGAGACGAGAGACTTCGACCGAGTAGGGCGGACACTTGCCACCGCCATCGTGGCACCACAGCCTGTTGCCCGGCCCCATACAAAGGGTCAGGAGCAAACGACACGGCGCAATCCTAACTTTCCGACTAAGGCGGTCACCGCGCCTCCTTCACCTTCACCTTCACCTCCGGTCCGCCCCTCAAACCCTCCCTCCTCATGGGCCCAAGTGGCGGCATCAAAAGCCACGACGGGTGGCTCTCGGGCTGATGCCAATACAAATTCGCCTCCATTGCTTTCCGAAGCACCACGCTTGTGCAGATCCCAAAGCAAGAGGTCGAAGCCACTTGGGTCCCTCCGCGTCCTAGCTTGCGCCTAATGCGCAAACTCTCTCGCTCTCTCAAACCCAACATAAAGACATCTCGACACAATGAATGTGAAAGGCAAAAACAAGCTTTGGTAGCCTAAGGCTACATCCTATAGAAGGAATACTCTGCAAACCTACTTTTGTACTGATGACTGACTTGCCATTAGGACAAGCCGCTCATCAGACCCCCATACCTCCTACCCTCTTTCCCACGGCGCCTTCTCTCAAAGGCAATAAGATTGCCTGGACCTGGGATATGAAGAAGGCAGCTCCGTTTTGAGCCCATCATGAACGAGTGTGCTTGCTCTGTACAGTGAGCTGCCACGAGACGAAACCAGGACACTATCTTGTTCTGTTGAAAGATGATCACGATACCACACTTCATGAACATATCGCTTGAGCCAACAAAATGAACCAAGACAGCGGCTCGGGGCATTTCAGAGTCAAGGACTATTATGATTGCCCCATTGGCAAAGGCTATTTTGCACATGTCTCTGGCAAAACAGCAAAAGAGATTGAACAATCCGATGAGGCAAGATTCAATAATGAATACAGCCATTATCGCAATCATTCAAAGTTATTTCTTTTGAATTCCCCTGGCCTACAGCTTGATGAGGCTAAGCCTTTTGAAGACCCTGAAAAAATGAGCAACCTTGGCTGCCAAACTCAATAAAATAATTCTACTTTTATCCGAATCATTGATTTCTTTTCAATCACCATAAGCAAGGGATATCCCAAGATCCGGCCACACATGTGACTACACCACAAGGTCTTTTGCACACAATTTACAGTCCATACCTGAACCTTTCACACCAAGAAAGAGTCAAATTTACAAATAAAGCCTGAGCATAGGCATCAACCTCTCAAACCAAAAAAAAAAAAAAAAAAAAAAAAGGTCTGAGAAGGGCTGGCGAGTATGTACAACTGGGGCATTGCCCCCGAGAGGGGAAGCTCATCACTACCAACCACAACCACTTCTCCAAGCGACAATGTCAGTATCTGATATTATCATCCTACCACGAAGAACTTGGTCAAGGCTTGTGACCAGGTCCTCGAAGACATGATGACGATCATCAAAGACCAACCAAAACAATTCAATCAAAATACACACAAGCCTCCGATCAATCGAGTGCCTCCTGGCCTGGGACTTTCATACCTCAAGTCGTCAATTGCAGGTACGATGGACGAGGCCTCCTACAGGTGGAGGAGGACGAGCATCTACACTGTGCCGCCTCTGGCCAACAACCAACCGTTCTCCCAGGGAGCCACGGCTAATTGGAATGGAGGAGATCGAGGACGATGACACACAAACACCGATGATGATCGAGCCTGCCAAGCAAGTGGTTACTTCTAGGATTCATCTAGTGGTATACTGGAGTAAGCGTGGTATTGAAGATGTGGCATATTTTGCATTCTAGCTAATGAGCTAGCTTGGTTGTAATGTGATAATTGAATTGGTCTTGGGAATTATTTACTTGATGTGTAACCTGATGAAAATTTCGACTTTTAAATCCTAAATCATTACTCTGAATGTGCTTCTAAATTCCAGATCCTTCCAAACCAATTGGGCCGAATAGACTTTTGCCATGCAAGAGACTTTGACACGCCCGAGATCCATACTTCACTAGATCTTCATGGTGGATATGGTGGATATTCGCTACGAGTGACTGCGTTTACCTCGATGGTTATGCCTCCGGAAGATGACTTTGTGTACAGGATGGGGGCCGAATTGATTCGAACGTGGAAATTTATCGCAATGACACCACGTAACATTGAGAAGGGTTTTCATCAGCTTTCTCTATGGCAAGTGAATCAATCCTCTACAGCCCTGCATCTTCCTTTCCTCCGGGTGTAGAATGAGCAGGGTAAGGCGAGACTGGCGGCACTGCCTGGAAGTAGTGATGATCTTCAATCACAAAGTTCTTCCCAACAACGTCGATTTCCACTCTCCATTTCAGAATGTGAACGTTTCGAATCAGATGCGTATCCAAACTGGGCCTCAAATGATTTGCGTGGAAATTCATCTCCTTCTCATATGGAATTTGGAATTTCACCGCATTGCCCAGATCAACCGCGGGCGTCGAAGCCTCGTCACACGGCACTTCCAACTCATGGCCAAGACGCATCAGGGCAAGGTTGGTGTTGATGATCTTGTTCCGGTCCCAGAACCTTCCCACGCCCGAATTCAGCGGCCCCATAACTGTCACGCGGGTAATGGCCTCTAGAGCGAAGCGCTTTACGACAATCTTCGGCGGTGACTTGCGGAGGCTCTCATGTGACTTGTCCCACAGTGGGGTGGCTTTCATTTGGAACGGGACAAAATACGGGTTCCCCAGCTGAATCAGTTTGGGGATGGCAATTATGAGCTGGAAAGTGAAGGCCGGGGTCGAGCGGGAGCTGAACAAGCCCTTCATCTGCTGCGAGGTGGAAAGCTTGGTGTTCTCTTTTCCCGGGATCAACCTTTGTGACGATACGGACAGCTCCTTCTGACAAAAGTTGAATGGCGTAGAGGACAACGGCTCTCCAGCGCGGAAATATTCTATAGTGATTGGTAGTACTGCCTTGGACTTGCCCCTCTTCCCTTGCCCTTCCAATTCCATTTCAGCTTCGAGGGTATACTCAATGACGGCTTTCCTGTCTGAGTCATACGTCCCATCAAAGCTCGGTGGCAAAATCGCCGTCGTGCCATCATCGTTTCGCAGTGGGAAAAAATACTTTTTGGGGTTGGCGTCTGCAGGGAGGCACGCCGAGTCAATGTGCGTTGGAATCGTCAGCGTAAAGGGCCAATCCTGGCGCAGTTGTCCAGAAGGCAAGTGAATCCGCCCGTCATGGACAACTTGGCTTTGGTCCAAGATTTGCATTTGCCCATTGAACTGTGGAATCTTGGTTCGCACCTGGCCATTAAGCCTCAGCTTGAGCGTGGCGTGATCACAGGCAGCAGGAGGCTTCCGGTAGATTCGTCCGGTGGCCACATCGCCCGGTCGGTAAGGGTGTTCGGCATCTAGCTCAATACCCAACGTCGAGTTGAGGGAGTCTGATTTGAACAAGTCCATAGCTGGGCATATTGACTGGAATATAGTAGGTCTGATATGAGTGGGACGTAAAGTGCCTGGCTAGATCGACAAGGACCATGGGAGGCAGATGAGATATTATCTTTTAGAGGGGTTGGAGTAATCAATGAGTTGACTCAAAGCCTAAAATCAAGCTTCAGATGATGCATGACAGTCACGGCAAACCGGCACATTTTATCGATCAGCCGCAATGCAACCATAGGCAAGGATCCATCATCCATCATGGCTCTCGCTTACCTTCGAGCGGGGTAGTCAACAGGATGGTCTTAGGCGTGTGCCAATTCTGCATCTCTGCCAGTCACATGGCTCTGATAATGCCAGTAACACAAGGGCCATACAATCATCCTATTTCTAGCTTGCCTCAATTGGTGTCTAGATAATTTTCAAGAAGCTTCCTGTGAGTACCCCTCCTAGTACTTGCAAAAACTAAAAGCGCTACCATCACCACCTTCTGTCTCCCAGTTTTGGGCGCTCAAATCCTCGCTTGTCTTGTCCAGTTTCAAGGGACAAGTACTTCTTCTTGCTAAGTTAATTTGCTATCATATCGAGCCGCTTGTTGGTGTCGACCACGATGAAATCTTAAGTGAGCGCTGCTCGCATCGACATAATACTGATCAAACTCACTTACCAGGCCGGCTGATAAGACCCCTTATTTAGAGGAACGGGCTCCAGGCAGCTATTTGGTAATTTTGACTCAACTAGTCACCAGGAAGTATATTGAAGACGTGCTCCTTTCTAGAAGTTTCCATGGCTACAATATCTCATAGCGTGCGTTATCTATTAGTTAAGATGAATTAAAAGGCTAACAAGCCAACTTGCATAATCAACAAACTTACTACGTTGCTAACAATTCCATAATGAAGCACACATCCCGCTTAGAATTTCGATCATCATCATTAGTTCTTTTATGAGCCATTCTATGTCCAACAGCAGCCGGCCACCCCCATGATAGTCTCTTCTTAGTGGTGAGTTCGATACAAAGTAGCTCCCCACAGATCTATCTAACATTGCTTGTATCGTCTAGTTGACTGTTTTAATCATCCTCGTTCTGGCCTCTCTAATCCATCACGCTCCTCTAATGTAAGTTCACTTTTAGCATGTCCAATTTTGATAAAGGGCAGGATGAGGCACGATATACCCGCCACCCCGACAGCGAACCAGAATGCAACCTGGTAGTTCTTCTGCAGGCTGAGATGGCCGGTATGTGAGACTGCAACTTCCCCAAACCCGAGAAAAAAGCTTACACCTAAGAACAACAGGCTATTGATGAAAGCTCCCGCAAGCCCCTGCTGGTGTCCTGGCAGGTTCGTTGTGATGAAGACATTGCTAACTGTGAAGGCAATATCGATACCGATTGTTGCCGCAATCATAGATGGCATCACCCAGGCCCAGTAGTTCGGATTTGCAGGCATCAAGGCAAAGAGCAATACACATACAACAGTCCCCACACCAGAAAGGCATAGAAGCACTGTTCCATGGAGACGGTGCAAGACCATACCTCCCACCGTTCCAATGAAGAGACCACCGATAATCATCGGGAGGTACCACACAGCGGTCGCCAGTGGCGACTTGCCGACAACGAGTTCAAGATAGAAACTGCTGTAGAGAAGAAACAGACCAAAGGTGCCGTAAAGACCAAATTGTGCTACCGAGAGTGCCTTCATACCCTTTGTACGGAACAGCTCAGCAGGCAAAAGCGGCTTCGCGGCGACGTAACCTTCAACATATACGGCCGCGGCAAGAAACCCGACACCAAGAATTAGTGTAACAATGATGCGAGGACTTGCCCATCCGCTTGGGGCCTGAGAGCTGTCGGTAATGGCGTAGACCAAGAGGATGAGGCCAGGCACGATTGTGACAACACCCAACCAATCCATTTGGATGCCGGATGGTGGTGTACGATGAAAGTCGTTCGGAATGGTTGTGACTCCCGCCAAACAGAAAATCCCCAGCATAATGGATCCCAGGTAAAAGTACCACCGCCAGGTCATGTATTCACCTGTGAGGCCACCAAAGAGGATGCCGAAGAAGAATCCAAGTGGCGCAAAGGCGCCATACATAGCAAATACTCGATTCTTGCGCGGTCCTGGCCGGTAGATTTTCCCGAGAAGAGCAATGCTCGCGGGGAGATAGGCCGCCGGTCCGAGTCCTGCAAGGGCACGACAGACAATGAGCATGATATAGTTCTGGCTAAAACCGGCGACGAGGTTCCAGATGAGGAACCAGACCATTCCAGCATTGAAGAGGGCGTAGCCTCCATACATGTCGCCGATGCGACCGAACGGCAATAGAAATGCCCCTGTCACAAGAGAGAATACGCTCGAAGGCCATGTTTGTGAGCCGGCAGGGATATTCAGCTCCTGCGTGATAGGGGGAAGAATGATGTGAAACCCAGATATGAAGAACTCCTATATCCAAAACCAACATCAGCTCGACTGTAGCGAAACCGAGACAAGCATAAGGATTTCCAACCTACCGCCATCAGCATACACCCCAAGACTGAAATACAGAACCCGATCTCCGACCAAATGTTTCGGAACTCTTTGGGCCTCTGTCGACCAAGCTTTTCGATTTCCAACTCAGTTGTCAGCTCTCTGTGGCCCAATTCGGGCTCGGATCCGATCGGCCCCATGGCGATGAAGGGCAGTTGACCACGACGGTTGTTTCACTGGCTGAACTAGTAACTGGTGTCTTAGCCTTCACGATACGTCAGAATGAAGAGAGAGTTTTCAATGTTTAAATATCAACGGACGGCCCCGCTGAATACGTCAAATTAAGCTTGGATGAGGCTATTCCTCCCCTTGGCAATCCATCCTCCTGACAAAGCCCTGGCCACGATACAGCATCCGGACCCAATGCAGAAAAAACAGGACATCGCCCCATTTATTCACGGGATCTCAAGACGGGTCACAGTGCTTCCAAACGCTGCTTGGGTTGCCATTGGATCCGTCGAAATTAGTATTAGACGGATCCACTGACAGGGCTTTGAGGATGGCGAGGTCGGATGCCCGCGGGTCCCGCCACGAATATACATAATATCATGGTTTCCCCTTTGAATCGGACGAAGGACGAACAATTTCTGAAACCTTTCATTTGTCACTTCTGGAGGACGTGGACGTATGTTTCTTCCCTTTCCTAGACCCAATGCCACGAGCAAGAATTCACCTCCTCATGGTTGAGGTATTCTTGTTCCGTCGGTAGCGATTAACTGGTCAGTTGGCCGACGGGGGATTTTAGTTGGCCGAGCTGGAAAATCGTTTGATCTGACCCAGCAGGACTTTCTTTTTTGTAATGGAATGGCCCTAGAGGCTAGCACAGGGCCTGCTCTATATTTGCCTCCATTATGGAAAACATCAATCTCGGCATTGCGGTTCCGATGTCCGACAGAGGGGCCGGTGAATGTCATCATCCGTGATCGGATCAGGGGACATCTTAGATCCGAAGGCTCTCGGCAAGTCACTATGCTGGCGGAGAGCTTCACATAAAAGGTCCGTTTGTCATGACGAGCAGATGGGAATCTGGCCTCGCCTACTCCGTACACCGATGTCTAATGCGGTACGGATGATCGGAAGTCGATTACAATGTTGGAACTAGAGCTGGTCAGAGTTTATCGAGGTCAAAATATAAAAAGGCCCGTTCATACACTACCCTGGTAAATCGTCAGTCGACTCATCATTTGTGACATTCTATTGCCTTTGCAAACGCTTAATACCACAACCATGGCTCAGACCCCAGGCAGCCCAACCAAACCTCTTCCGGTCCGAACAATTGCGGGTGTGACTGTTGTCGACACGCAAATTGTCCGCGATGCCCAACAGTTTGCGCGAGAGCACTCGACAGACTGGGTTTATCGCCATGTGATGCGTGCCTGGCTCTTTGGCGTCCAGATAATCAGCCACAACCCAACACTCCAACAAGGGGTGGATCTCGAGGCTCATGCAATCGCTACACTGCTCCACGATCTCGGGTGGCACCAGACATCAACCTCTTCCTTTGTGAGTGACGACAAACGGTTCGAGGTAGACGGCGCCATTGCTGCCCGAGACTTCATCCGAAACCACCAGGACGGGAAGCTCTGGGATGAGTACAGAGTCCAGCGCGTGTGGGATGCCATCGCGCTGCACACTCAACCCTCAATTGCCGACTACAAGGAGCTCGATGTCAAGGTGACAGGCAATGGAGTCCTCGCGGACTTCGCCGGGCCGATTTACGGTGTGACAAAGTCGGAGTACGATGCAATCGTGCAGGAATTCCCCAACGATGGCTTCCTGGAGGGGGTGAACAATACCATCGTTTGGCTTTGCAGGACTAAGCCCCAGACAACTGTTGGTAAGTCAACCTTTGCGAGAACGAGAATATGACCTAGCATACTAAAACCTTTTTAGATACCTGGCAGCAGCGTTGGGGCGAGCACCATTTTGAAGACTACCCGCCAAAGGGCTTTTCCTTCTGGGACCTTGTACACAGGTGAGGGCTAGAAGACGGGGAGTTTGGGTGGCTCGTGTTTGTTTGTTGCTGTCATCGGAAGGTAATAATGATCATGATTTTGTACCAGGTTCATATCACCAAGTTTTCAAGGGTGGAGGGTCAAGGCAGGATTTGAAAACGTATATTTTTGATGATAGTTCCTGAAATGTCAATAAGGACGTCCGCCATGGGTGACCATGGCGTCTCATCCTCCCGTATGCTAATGTCTCGCAATGATGCTGAGTTCCTAACGCCCGTGCTATCGCATGCCGGATCATGGCGCTCGTCTAAAAAGAAAAATAATAATAAAAAATGGCTCGCGCTGAAGCTGGCTTCATGATCTGTACTAAAAAGGGGTCCTCCGACCCCAACCACTTTTCCCGGATTGTTGAATTCGCAGTATGTCGAGTCCATCAAGACGAAGCCTCCGCGCTGCGCCAGGAGCTCTCGTACTCGGCCTTCTTAGGCTTCTGCTTGGGCAGATCCCACAGCTTCTCCTCGCTCTCCGTCGAGGGCAGCCGCTCCATCACACCGGTATTTGCGCTCGGTCCGGGCTTGGGGCGTGACACTCCGCTGCTCAACTCCAAGCCGCCGTTGCGCGTGCCGCGGGAGTCTTTGGTCGAGTCGCCGTAGGCCAGCGACTGGCCCTGGCCGGCACCGAGCTTGCCCTCCCGCCAGCACTTGTAGAAGGCCTTGAGGGCGGGCATGTTGGCTGCCAGTATACCCAGGTCGATCTCGACGGCGGACATCATGACCATTTTGCCGAGGGACCAGGAGAAGTCGGGCGACCTGGCAAACTCCATGAGGATGATGGCTCGCAGACCACCTGCCAGAACGGCCGAGCCACCGGTGGTGATGACGCTGATGACGGCGACCTTTCGTTTGAGGGTCATCTGAAGGCTCATGATTGTGGGGATGGGAAGAATCAAGATGCAGACATCGACCAAGAAGATCTGGAAACGATGTGAGGTTAGCAAGGGGCGGCGGGACTTCGAAGAAGCGGAGCAAACTCGGCTGCTCGAGCAGACACAGGCAGGCAACTTACCAAGGTGAACGGGAAGAAATATGTACTAAATCTTTATTAACAATTGTTTCTTCAATCGGAAATAATTGTGGTCTTGACTCACATTTTAGCGTTGATGCACTTCACGTCAGGGTGACGTTCTGGGTAATAGAATGCCTCGAGTGGCAAACATTGGAGGCCGTAGAATAGCAAAATGGCGATGGTGCCCAGAGTGTTGAGAGCAATGACTGCCCACAAGCTCCAGACGAAGGCTCTGGCTTGGGACAGGCGGAAAAAGAAGAGCAGGAAGCACATCTTGACGAGGAATTGCAGGGTGGCGTAGTAAAACTCTTCGGCCAGCAGCCCCTATAGCATACTGTCAGAAAGTTAAGGACGGAGAGAAATTCGCTGATATCTACCTTGAGAAGATGAGTCACATTGCCTGGGTCTTCTGCAATGACTTGTTCAAGGTGCCTGTTAAGGTTTAGAGTGGTTAGCTTGTGGCTCTCCTGGTCGAGGGTTAATCAATGCACTCACAAACCGGCACCCTTCATCAAAAAGAATGTGAGCAGAGCTTCCTGGCCAGGGAAGAGAATCTAGAAGAAGTCAGCATCCACCCAATTGTGCGTTGGGGCGTGTCTTTGGGTGTCCAAACGCACAAGCATGCTCGTCATGACCCAATCATCCCAACCAAACGACTTCATCGACACTCCACGGACCCAAATGCGCATCGGAATCGTAATGTAGGTCACGGCAAAGAGGATCGAGATTATAGCGTGAGCGAGGGGGCGCATGTCGTTCATCCTCGCGGTAGGTGTCGTTTGCGACGACGACGGTTGAAGCACATCTGACGAGTATCAAGTGTGGATGGAGTGGAAGGGAAATATTTAAGAGTCCCGAATCGAGACGATGAAAAGCAAATGTCTGCAGCAGCAGAGTTTGGCCCTGCCAAGCCCCATGCTTTCCCCAAGGCGGCGATTGATCTTCCTCGCTAATCCCCTTGGTTGTCGGACATTAAATGGAGAAGGGGGTTCGTAGTCCAGGGAGTTGGATCCTAGTCTCGCCACTTATATACTATATTACACTGCAAATATATATCCGCAGTCATCACTAACTAATGCTGCTAGCCAAGAAGCTAGCTGGGTCATGATGTCGAGAATCTGCCGCCTCCAACGGTTACAGGTGAGGGGAAGGAAGCGAGTGTCAGAGCAGAGAAAAGGATGTGTGAGCTAGGCTTTCTGATCCTCAGGGCACCCAGTACCTGGTTGTTGGGTTCCATTCTCAAAATAACGGAAATATGGATATGTATGAGACAATTTCTACCCCATGGCCGGGATGTATGTCATTGAGAAAGCACTCAAACTGGAGTGCTGATCAGTTACCCACACTTGGGCTCGAGCCGGTTTGCTAGATTCATCATACATGCCCAAGGGTCAAGGGTCTGACAACGGTCTGCACGGTGCCGGATGCGACATGATTCGCAGCATCCTTCCCCTTTCCATTTCCAATCGTGATATGATATCTGACGGATGAACAATTCCGCATCCTCTCAAGTTGTGCGCCTGTCAATATCGGGGGTGCGCTGTCCATGTTGCATGCCGTTGAGGTCCAAGCGCGGCACTAAGAAGCAGCATTCAATAATGAAGAGGATTATGAAGATTATGCAGACCATTCTAGCGGCTGGTTGTTGGTTGTTGGTTGCGCAGTCCATGTAAGCAGTGGGCCCCTTTTAGCAAGCACGAAAACCATGGCACGGAATCACGGAAGAGGACATAGTATCGGAGGCCTTCCAATCATCTAACGGGGAATATCTTCGGCTACGGGGAGACAGGGATCGCTGCCGCAGCGGAAAGGGCGCAAAACCGACCAGAAACGGTTCTGGGGAAACCGGCCGGCTGGACTATGAGCTCGACCAAGCTCGTTCTCTCGCGTTGGGCTGCACAAGACAGCCACTACCGTCACGCTAGTTGACAAGCGAACCGCGGGTGCTGGCTTATGCATCCAAGGGAGCTATTGCGTCTCCTCTCTCGCGCATTAGGCACGCCAGCCTCACCCACTCGAGGGATGATCGTGGTAGTCGAGGGACTGGCCGCATATTTAGCTCCGCTCGAGCGTGTTTTCAGGTTGTTTAGTCACCGTTTAGTGTACAACATCCTTTCCAAAGATCCTTGTCAGAACCGCCGATCGCTGGCCCTCGACATTGGGTTGCATCTTGGCCAATAGCGTTGTTCCCAAAAGCAATATGCCACGAGGGTCCTGCATTGCCCGGAGCAAATACGTAGCCCCCACGACCCTAATACCAGCTGCACTCCCGCATCTTCACTTGCCTTTACCCGACTGCAACATCTCTCCTGAAAAAGCAAAAAGAGCAGCTCTCTAGAGATGGAATCCGCGCTTCAGTTAGCGCTGAGATCGTCCTGGCAGGCGACTGCCGGGGTCTCAGCCCTCCTTGCCGTCCTGTCTCACCATATCGTTTTCCGCCCGTACGAGATTGACGGCGCTGCTTGGGAGCTTGTCTTTGGCTACATTGGCTCCTGCGTGGCGCTATTCGTCCTCTACATCCAGGTGGCTGGCTACAGCTTCCTCACGGCTGTCGGCCGCACGCTTCTAGTCTCAAACTCCTACAATGTCAGCCTCTTGATCAGCATCCTTGTCTACAGGGCCTTCTTTCACCGGCTCCGTGGCTTCCCGGGTCCTTTCAATGCTCGGCTCTCCCGCTTCTACGCCTTCAGCAAGGTCGCCAAGACCGTCCGAGGCTGCGAGGATGTCCAGAAGCTGCACGAACAGTATGGCGACTTTGTCCGAATTGGTATGATACTCAGACAGTGACGAATTGGCTCATATTAACTGATTTGCAAAAAGGACCCCGCGAGATATCAATCAACAGGCCCGGCGCTATCCGTCCCATTTACGAGCCGCCCACGCGAACAACCCGTTCCCCATGGTACGCCCAAGTATCCAACGATGTTACCAAGATCTCCATCAACTCGACTCGAGTCCTCAAGGTCCATAAGCAGCGCAAGAAGGGTTGGGAGAGGGGACTCGGATCACGAGGTATGTATTGACGCCAATGGTTCCTCCGCTTCACACATGTACGTGCATAGGTACTAACATCCACGGGGTTCCAGCCATGGCCGTTTACGAGCCTCGCGTAGCTTCCAAGGTCGATTCCTTACTAGAGCGACTCGCCGCACATGCTGGCAACCCGATCGACATGACCAAGTATATCATGTTCTTTGGTTTTGATGTGATGGGTGACATTGGTAAGCTCTATTAGTCTCATCAAAACCTCTGCTTTGACAGGCCGGTTAATCAATTGCATCAGGTCTTTCCAAGGACTTCCACATGGTCGAGCGAGAGGTCGAGGATCCCGCTATTCAGGGTGTCCACGAGAGTATGTTTGCAATTGGTGTCTTTGGTACCGTCCCCTGGCTTCTGTCCATGCTTGGCAAGATTCCAGGCGCGGCGGGAGGATACAACAAGTACACCAAATGGTGCCACGATGAGCTTCAAGAAAAGCGCCAGGTAATAATCTCTCCTCCAACAATCATTCCAACACTAGCTTACCGTGTACATAAGATACTGCTAAGCGAAATGGCGTCCCTCAAAGATCAAGAGCCCCGAGACATCATGACATGGCTTCTCAAGGCCAAGGAGCAGGGAGATCCATGTGCTCCTCCCGGTGATCTAGCCATTGAAGAAGATGCTCGACTGCTCATCATTGCCGGCAGGTAGGTCGACCCATTGTTCCGCCATGAAGAATCAATCAGAGTTGCTAACCATATTTCTCTCTCTACAGCGATACCGTAGCTTCCGCCATCACCAATGCGTAAGTGTCTTGTGATATTTGATCACTTGCCAGTTTGTTTTGGTTCATGACTTGCGCTAACAACCAGGCAGCCTATTTTACCTTACCAAGAACCAGACTGTCTACAAGACCCTCCAAGCGACTCTTCGACAGGAATTCCCCGGAGGTGACAGCGACTGGACCTATGAGAAGGCGCGAAACGTACCCTACCTCGACTGGGTCATCCAGGAGACTCTCCGTCTGCGCCCTTCTGTACCCGGTGGTCTGGCCCGTGTCACTCCTCCTGAGGGTCTCATGGTAGACGGCACCTTCATCCCTGGTGACACCGTGACCTCCGTGCCAACCTACACGATCCAGCGCGACGAGCGCTACTGGCCTGACGCCCTGTCCTTCAAGCCAGAGCGCTGGGAGGGTCTGTCTACCGAGAAGGCCCCTTGGCTCCCGTTCACTAGGGGCCAGTGGGCTTGTTCCGGCAAGGCAGTCGCCATGATGGAGATGCGCATGGTCCTCGGCCGTATTGCACTTCACTATGATCTCTCGTTCCCACCCCCGGTCACGCCCGAGAATGCCGAGTTCATCTTCCAGGACACCTTCACTCAGACGCTGCCACCCCTCCCGCTCGTCTTTACTCCTAGAAAAGACTAATTTGCCCCGGCGGCATCGGGATGCATCTTATCAGGAGCTTGTCACGGTTATTTCTTGTGCGGATGGCTTTGTCTTTCTCGCAGCCATGATGACAAGGCTTTAGTTATCAGAAATCTGGGGAGCCATGAGGAGAAATGACATAATAATGTAGAATGCAAGTGCCCACGGGGACAAATGTACATCCACGCCGTAATACATCATAATGTCAATTTGTTTTTAACCTAGATCCCTCGCGCTGACCAACTCAAGCCTGTCGAAGATTCGCCCTGCTCCCAGTCCAATAGAAAGAGGGTAATCAATTCATGCAGAGAAATCTGCCAGGTACATGTAAAATGACCTCTACTTCCTGGCAGACCTGGTGGCATCACTCATTTTTGAGATTCCTGCTCTCATGTTGCTTCACATATTACCTACCCTACACCGTGATGCATGCCTCTCACAGCCTCGCATACAACTTCTATCTAATCTCACTTTTTTAATCCAATGTGCACCCGCCTGTTATCCCACAATGCTCCAAGTTATACCGTAAAGATGTTGGAACGTGCGACTATCGCTGTATACTAGATAAATGATTACCTTAGGTATGTAGGTATGTAATGAAATCCCTGCGCTCAGAGCCCCTCCATGCCATGTTACACCTTGAGAAAGCTTATCACAGACTCTCAATTGTCCATCCTCACTTAAAATAAATTGCCAAAAAGTCTGTTTAATCACGCGGCACATCTGTACAAGTTACGGGTCCCCTGGTATTGCATTTACGTCTATTTATCGGCTAGCAATGACGACAGGCCAAAAAATTATTCTGAAATGCACAATCCGAAATGATAGCCAAGTTCGACGTCTGGATGATCACAAGCTGCTTGGCTACCTAACAACAGATATACATGCAGGGAGAGGGCAGTGGTCATACCAAACAGCCACGACTTGGCGCAAACGTGTCTTATGTTCTGCTGCACACTCGCAAACTCCCTAACTTTATTGCGTAGCATGCGCCCTTAGTCATCGCAATGAATTACGCGGAAAGGTATTGATTACTCCGTGGGCCGAGTGCTTAACATTAAATGGCACCTCGAAGCACGTTGTGCATGCATATGTGCCAATTGTGTAGACGCCCAACGCCATGAGCATAAGTCACCCCGAGTGCCGACCGTACATAGGTAATTTGCAGACAAGTGTGAAGTGGCTCGCCTCCTGAATGAGGGGCAACGGCTTGGGGGTGCCACGCAGGCGAAGCAAGCTCCGCTTTGCACGGAGAGGGGGATACATAGGCTGTTTCTTATTCGCAGGTATGTACGAGTAAGCTGACCACCCTCAGTTGGCTTATTAGATGCTCAACCAACCACATCCGTTGGGGTGATGCAGGAGGGGAGGGAACCTGAACATACGCGTGACATTTGCTTACCTAGGTACCTAGCTAACGCACAGAGTGATTCGAGACTGACTTCATGTTACCTAAGCCGGATGCCTTTTGACTGGTGACAGTGAGGAGATAGGTAGTACCTGTACTCCACTAGTATTTCCCACTTTTCATGCTCAGAAACTCTTCACTATAAGCTGCCGTTATTTTAATAGATGATTTCGAGTCATTGTAGTTATAAAAAATTGATATCATTTCATCAAACTGTATTTTATTGGTTATTTTATGATATTCTTAAGCTTATGCAGCCTTCATTGGAAAATCAATGAGCAAAATTGGAGCGTATTATTGATCTATTAAATCTTTCTCTACGTATTAAATTTCCTGGCCATGTACCTGTTCGTGTTATTAGCGCACCGGACAGCAGCTGAATGGCCATGTCCCCTCTTCTTCTGACCTAGACACGGCATTTGCTCGACAGATAAAAAGAGGCCGTAGAAGGGAGCTCTTGCTTCAGATTATCAATAAGCGCCCTCTCTCGTCTCCTCCTCTTCCTCAACCTATTGCTCCCGAGCCCATCGACCTTATCTCGACGCCACACTGCCCCGGGATCCCGACGAGATGAGCCCGGCAATACTTCGTTGTGCTACCGGCCCTCTTCGTACGACGGTTGGTGTGAAGATCGAGGATGCCCCGGGCGATGGGCATGATGTGCGCCGTGTTCCACCGATGTTCCCTCCAACTTTCCGATTCCCGCCCAGCGAGTGAATAAAGAATGAAAGGATGAGGCCATCAGACGATGTGCCTTGTTTTGCTGAAGCAAGGAATGGCCTATATGGCACGGCTGCTATATGGCGGCCAGCGTGAAGGGTAAAGAACCCTGATAAAAGTCAAGATATAGGGCTTATTAAAATATTTGATATCTCCTCTACTATATATAAAATTAACCTAACTTATATACTTATTATGATCTGAAATATAATTTATAGTTCTAATATATTATATGTTATATCAAAGTAATCTAGTATTTACTATAATAGAATTATTATTATTAATAATATAGACTTATTAATTTTAATCTAATGCTTATTAGGGAACGACCTACATCCAAGTGATAAAAGTCATAAAAGGAATATAAAAAATCTAAAATATTTATAAATTAGGGAGATTAATAAAAGATGTCTTTCTTTACTAATGATAATAGAATTTTACTTTATAATAAAAAAATTATACAAAGTTGCTACTATTGCCGGACCGTGCCATGGTGGTCAATGTTGGACCTTATCGCGTGGCTCTTGTTTTCTAAGGGCAGAAAACCAACGGCGCCCTAAGATGAGCCAACGCATGTGTCCTCTTTGCCGACGAGGCGCACCCTGGTGTTTTTGCTTTTGATGTCTGGTGTTGCCGTAGCCACCTTGGCTTTCCGGTCGGGCGGCGTGGTCATCGGTCGAGAGCTGACCGCTTGGTTTGCTGCGTTGATCTGTTGCAATATCCGTCCCGGCCAATGGGTTGCTTGGTGAGTGAGGGGTGGTTTCGATACTAACCGCTGTTGCAGGTGTTGGACAGTCGTCTAACCAGTCGACTCCGAACGCGACGTCGGCGCCAAGATGTGACACAGCTTTAAAAATACCGATCCGAGTTACGCCGTCGACCTCCCAAGCGCACTCGTATTGGCCGCCGTTCTTCACGGGGAGGCGCCTTCTCCGCATGGCCTCAACGGAAATAAAGTTGATGGTCTGCTGGCAATTCAGTGCGCACATTCCCTGCCACTCTGTGCTTCCAGGCGGCTTGATGTTGATAAATTGCCGTGTGGCTTGCTAGTGCGAGGCGGTAGAACGGTTAGCAGGACACAAATGTAGCCCTAGCGGAGGGAATGGAAGTCGATACTTACGTCCAAGATGATGGTGGGATCGTTGGACTGGCTGGGGCCAATTGTAGTGGGCTGTCCGCCGTGAGAGGTATGTGGTGGCACTGTGGGAGGTGTGTTTGTCTCCATTGAGGTCCTGTCTATGTTAATGTTGTAGGTGTGAGTCATGTAGAACTCCTGCCTGAGAGCTTTATTTTGGGCCTCAAGAAGGGGTTTGATATATTGTACCATGTCGTCGTCATTCTTGAAGAGCCCATGGGTTTCGCAAGCCACTCGGATGACCTCACTGTAAGCTTTCATTTGGCCGGGCGGCAGCTCGTGATTGTGGTGGACGGCCATGTTGATACCATTTGGACCATACAGTACCTAGGTAGTTATCACACGAAGTAGGACAGGGGCGAACTGTCCGTTTTATACTCCTTCTTTGTTGTTCGCCCTTTCCCCTCCTTGGTTGTTGGTTCGCCATTCTCGTCCGAGCGAGCAATAGCTAAGGTAGGGCAGGTCAATGGGCACAGCAGTGTGGGGCTGACTACGGGTGACTGTGGTCCACGGGTGACCCAGTGTAGAGTACACATCTTCATGTAGCGATAGGTATTTGGCAAAGAAAAGTGGTGAGAAGTGGGTGAGAACAGGGAGAGTACCGTATTATCGGTACTTGGGGGAGACAATCATGCGACCTGCGGCCACTGGCGCTTTCATACCTCCGTAAAATACAGGAGGTCCCTGTCACCAACAGATTTGATCACACTGCCTGGCGTCATTGCGCCCGCGCCCCTACCTACCTACCTGCTTATGCCTGCAAACAATGGATAATTAGAAGGGAGTTACGGAGCCTGTAGGTAGCCCTGTACTATTTGAAGCCAACGCGTGACCAGTATTTCGCCATCTAGATGCCAGTATCCCCTTTACTCGCCCGTGGACGGCTTTCCTTGAGGCACTTGCAGACAAGAGTTGGTCATTCACTCAAGTCGCGTTGGCCAAGATGCGGCAGTGGAAATGAATAAAACGACGACAGCCAGCTTTCGGCAAAAAACAAACACACGTATTAGTAATTACCTACATGTACCTACTTGTTGGAGGAAAGGTGGGTATGGAAAAAGAAAATTGTTTTTACATCCAAGACAACGCCGCGTCAGTAGGGCAGATTTTTCAATGGGGAATTGAAACCATCTACGTTAGCCGAAACTGAAGCGCTGCATTGGCTGGAGCTGTTGCGGTCCGCTAAATAAGCTCCGGTAAACCCATTTTCTGTGATTGAAGCTGGTTGCGAGGATGTCTGGCTAGCGCCCACGTCACTAGACAGCCCTCCCGGATAGCTCATCCACCAACCACTTGTGGCTGAGACTCCAGTAGTAGTAGTAGTATTGTTTATAACGCCGTTCACGTCCCCCTGGGGGCACAGGGCGTAAACTGAGACTCCAGCTGATGGTGGCGATTTGCATTTACTACCGTGTGTCTGCACCCAATAACGCACACATGTGCTCCATCACAAATACGCTCTGGGGGGTAAAGGAGGGGTAAAAGCGAAGCTATTCGTATGAAAAATTCACCGTTTGAAGCTCTATTTAATAGTGTTTTATATTTTTTGGCCACTTTAATATAGCTAGGTAGTCTTAAATACGCTTTTTCTCTGCAAGCTGCGCGGCGATTTCGTCCTTTTAATTTCTTTCTCAAGCGACTCCAAATCCCACCTGATTCTTCCACTATAAGATTACTAGAGTAGTATATTCAGCATCACCCCCTGAGCCCGAAGGCTGACGGCGTACGGCATCGTGCCCGCTTGGCTGCTAGTGTGCTCGGCGCTAGGGTCATAGAAATCGCCCTCCTCCTCTAGAGCTGCTACAACGCAGCCGGTTAAGGCTGCGTTGTACGCTGCTCGAAGTGCCTCTAGTGCGGGGAAAACATCCCCTCGCAGGGCTTCAATAGCAGGAAGATACACCACAGCCAGCTTCAAGGGTAGTCGGTTACGCCAATACAGGCAGGCAGATACACGTTGGTAAAAGCCACATACAAATCTCCGCTATCGGCTACCAAGAGGAGTCTCAGCCACGGCGGGGTGGTTAAGAAAAAAGTGGTGATACCGACAGGGGCTATCGCGATAATTGGCTCTCCTCGCATGGGGATTATGATCCGCATACTTTGGGGAGCGTGTGCGCAGTAGCTAGATAATATTGGTCACGGTGTTTGTTATCGGGCTGATTATAAGCTCTGGATTGAGTCTGGCATTATTATTGAACAGCTCACTTCTGGGGGGTTGGTTGCAGAAAAGGTTCTAGAACATCCTTTGGCTTGGCACGCTTCACAGCCACGCCACCGCCCTAGCCACTCTGGTTGGTGGTGTTGCCAATCAGCAGATCGAATGAGGCCGGTGTGACCCAGCAATCTGCCGTCTCAGTCTCGTTTGCTGTGTCGGGAGCGAAGGTTACACCAACTGCTGTATCTGCTACAAACTGCTGCCCTCCCATGTCTAGTGTCCCCCGTTGGCTCGTCCGGAATGGCTGCAAACGGTACAGGTCAACCACCCGTTTAGAGATCCACGCACCAGAAACGCTGCTATCCCGTGTCACCTTGACAGTATGCCATATTTTCGTATTGTTGTCATATAGTTTAGCTGGCTCTGTTCTCCGTGTCGCCGGCCGAGCCTCCGCTCCCTGCTGCAATAATGAGTATCAGTACAAAGCACAGGCAAAACAAGTGGTGATCCGATACGCACGTGAGTTCGGGAGGTGGAAAACCGGTCGTGCCACGTTGGCTCCGGCCTGTTGCAGCATATCCCGCAGAACGGAGGATTGCTTCTACTCTGTGATATCGCGAGCTGGAGCTCCTTGGAATTCCAGCGCATTTCGTTCTCCAGCTGTAGCATCTGCTCAATCCACTGCAGCTCCAGGGGGTCATAGTTGTCCGATTTGCCCCGCTCTCTCACGGCCGAGATGGCATCCCGGATCCCCTCCGGACAGTCTCGAAAGTTTGCGCGGCCTCGATCTTCCAGTATCATCTTCACGTAACTAGAAGAAAACCGGCGGAGCACGGAGCTCATTTCGAGAAAAACGCAACCTAGAGACCAAATGTCCGACTTTCGATTTCGAGGTTGGTCCCTAGCTGCCTCTGGGGCGCAGTACTTGGGGCTTCGCCTTGCCTCCTCCTGGGTGGTCGAGTGGCCCTGCTTACTCCAGTCTAGCGAGATGCCAAAGTCTGTTAGTATGACCCTGTCTTTCTTGACGAGGATGTTCTGCGGCTTGATATCTTTATGTCGAATCCCGACCTCGTAGTGGAGATACATGAGCGCACTTGCAAGACAGCCGAAGAAGTTTGCCAGCATCATGCGATTATTAGGCTCACTGTGGTTAAACGTACTTAAGAAACTCTCCAAGTTGCAGTCTGCGACTGGGTCCATGACGACCCCGATGTCGTCAACGTCGCCGTAGCTGCCCATGAACTTGATGCAATGCGTATGGTTGATCTTCTTGAGAATTTCAATTTCCTCTTTGATCGATCTCAGCTGACCCTTGGCCTCGAGGTATTCCGCTCTTCGAGAGAACCGCTTCACCGCGTAACATTTTCCACCAGCCACCTGCACCTCAACTACGATACCTGCCCCGCCCTGTCCAAGGTATCTCTTGTATGTGAGGCTCTTGGGGAATCTCTTCCCATCCTGCTCCGACATGGCCTGGGTGCCAAGGGGAACGTGAGACGCATTGAGCTCATATGATTTTTCAAGGACTGACCACTGATGATTGATGAAAGCCTGGCATGGGGGAAAATCAAGTTTTGGGGGCATTATGGTATGACGAGGAATGGGGAGCCAGTAGTCGTCGACGCCTGCATCGAGAATGGGAACGATGTGCTCCTGAAAGTTAGTGCTATTTAAGATCTCAATGACTTTTGTTGCGAATTTGGCATTTTCGTGGTCTCTGATCTCTTGCGCACTGGCCTTAACGCGATTTGGGAAATCTCTGGGCGACATGTTACGTGCCATAATGATGATGCAGGATATGGGGCCGAGCCCAACAAGTGGTGAGCACTGAGATGGCTCACAGAAAGAATTTTGCTCTCACGAAGATCTCAGGGAACGGTAACTATGGAGGATGACGAGGATGACGATGAGGGGAGAGGGGAGGGGTTAAATGTATGTGGAAAGTGCAGCCCTAAACTCACCGAAAATTCAATCATCTGTTCCATTCGAGGAAAGAGAAGTGTAAAATTGCTCTGGGCTTCAAAGCCTGAGTAAGAAAGCATGGTTTGATTGAAGACGAGCCTATGGTAATGGATTCTCCCCCACCCCAACAGTGTTGGGCGGCATGTAACATGCAGTAGTGTAACTGCACATTAGCCATCCAGGTCATCACTGGCTTTCCCTATAAATTCACCGCTCCAGGGCCTTTTGATCGGCTTATTGAATCTGCCTTATACATTAAGTAATTGTGCAATTCCTTCCCACACTCACTCAGCATGGCTTATCCACTGGGTGTGGCCCAGCTGGCCCTTGGCACCGGGTCATTGACTCTACAAGCGGTCGATGAATGCATTAAATGTACGCGAATGAATCCAGGCACCGAGTGCTATAGTTAACGGCTCATAGTTTATAAGCTATTCACCGAAGCGTCACATATGCCCGAGACCCAGAGATTTCTGCAAGTCCGGCTGCAGATGGAACAACAGCGATTCCTCAACTTTGCAGAAGAAGTCGGATTTTTATCAGCCGACACGAATCTCAACCGGTCCTTGTCCACCCACTCCCCAGCGGTTCAGGGGGCCCTCCTGGAATTGAAGACGCTGTTCGAAAAGTTCCAACAGATGAATGGGAGATATGTTTACCTGACATCACACGATGAGTGTGATGAAAGCGCCTCGCCGTCAAGTTTGACAGACCTCCTGCACAACACGAAAATAGGAGTGGAAAAAATCAAACTGGCATCATCCATCGACCACAGAGCTGCGAAGTTGTCAGCGCTGGACTCCATTATCGAGAATGCGAAAAGGAGAGCCGCGAAACTTCGTAAAGTAGTCATCGAGCCAAGGCGTCTAGTCTGGGCAGCATTTGACCAGGACGAATTTGTCGATCTTGTGCGGAAGCTTTCTGAGATCAACACATACCTGATTACGTTTCTTGATGAGGCGCGGGCGCGGAGAATCGAAAAGGCGACGGAAGCGAGCTATCTCGAGATGCTTCAAATGCGAAACGACGTCACTGGATTGAAAACAATCATTCAAGCATTGACGCACGTGGCTCATCAGGATCAAGTCGTTCGTTGGGCGCCGATCACAGCAGAAGCGCCCAAACTTTCTGTTACGACAGTTAGTGAACAGGCCAGCAGGAGACGTATGATACTCATGAGGCAATTGGCAAGCATCAAACTTCATCGTTTGGAAATCAACCAGGATGGGGAGTCCGATTCAGATGCTATCCAGACCAACCTTGACAGCGATTTCAACATCACAGATTCGTTTGCACCCGAGGAAATTCCCGACTCGCGACAAATAACATGGGTGAACGAAGAGAACATATGGCTGGAGTCCGTCGATTATTCACCTGCTTTGTTGGAAAGGAACCCCGACGGAGCTCTGATTCATCATAGAGTTTACTTACTCGCTAGGCTGCTTAGCATCGCGCTGCCAGAGGATTTTCGATCCCCTCATTGTCAGGGATACATTAGAATGCATGACAAGGGCAGCCAACCAATTTTCAAACTGGTTCTCAAGGCCCCGGATGAGATGCATTCCCCGGTGACTATTTTCAGCCTCCGAGACCTCCTAGCTGGAGTACCGATGCCTTCTCTGTCACGGCGTGCTGAGCTGAGCCTCACACTGGCAACGTCTCTTGGGAGGTTTCACGATGTGGGCTGGCTGCACAAAGGCCTTCGCAGCCAGAACATCCTCCTCTTTGGTTCAAACCTGAAGACAGCGGACCTCAGCCAGCCCTACATCACGGGCTTTGAGCTCTCACGCCCAAGCGAGATGTCAGAATTAACAGACAAGGCGAGATTTGAACCTGAAGCGGACATGTATCGGCATCCTTTGGTCCAAGGGGGGGAAAACGCCGCCGCATACGGCAAATCGTTTGATCTCTATGGCTTAGGCATCCTGTTCTTGGAGATTGCATTCTGGTTGCCTATCGAGAGTATTCTAAGCATTGAGAATGTGGGTGCTCTCACTCCCGAGAAATTGCGCTCCATTCGTGCCACGATCATCGACGATGAACCAGAAACCGGCCCAAATTCACTGGAGGGAGATATCGATCACCCACCTTCATCCCACCTTGTAGAATCGAGATTTCTGCAGAGGGTGGCTGCTCTCTGTGGCGACCCTTACCGCGACATTGTCCAGCTCCTCCTTCGCGCTACTGAGATCGAGTCCCCGGTCTATCGTGGGGAAAAGGCAGCCTCTCGCCACCGGAGGCTGCAAGATGTTTTCCGCGAGGGGGTGCTTGAACGGCTGCATAAGGTCAACGAGGGATTTTAGTGTTTCGGATGCATGATCTGGCAGATGAACCTGTGATACTATCAGAGCACCCCATCTAGATAATCGTCGTGTTTGAGCCTCTAACGGCTTCAAAATTCCGTACTCCTTCGTTGTTCCCCCCACTACAGGGGCTGTTCCCTTTTGATGATTTCGCATTGAATGGAAGATACGGATACCACACGCCCCGGTCGATCATGTCTTCGGTCAACTCGATAAATGTGTACAGAGGGAACATAGTTCTGGCGCAGTAAGAAAGTTATAGTATCAGATAATCTAAAGAGAGAAAATACATAAGTTCAGCCTGTCATTGTGTCTCAACAAACGTGTGTATTTGAACATCGTCCGAATACATCAAACTTATATTGGAACTAGTGACAGTGGTTCAGATGCTGCTAGATATTTGTTGGTGGCTTGCGACCCTGAACGGCTTGCTCAACACGATACGCCAGATTAAGCAATTCCTGATCTTTGAGAGGTAGGGACAAGAGCTCCAGTCCAACAGGCAGACCGTTGGATGTTAAACCAGCAGGCACAGATATAGCAGGCCATCGCAAGTTACTGGCAATGGCGAAGTTAGCAGGGACTGCCAATCGCATCTTGGCATCTATATCGGCTGACACCGGTGGAGGTATCTTGGCCTCTGGAAAAGCGAAAGCAGAAACCTGGTGTTTAATCATCAGACCAGATAGAACGGCGTCGAACTCTACTCGTGCATCCAGCTGCTTTCCATAGTCTCCAGACTCATATGGAGACGCGGCTACGCGGGGAAGAGCATAAGCTACCAGGACGTTCTCCTTTGGAAGCTGGCTATTGGCAAGTAAGGAGCTAAAATCAACACCGAAGTTTTCCTTGATGAATCCCTCCAAGTCGATTCGGCTTCTTGTTAGCAAGACACTGGACCCGGCGATGTAGTTTGCCAGATTGGGTACTTCAATATCGACCAGCGTGACACCGGATTTGGAGAGAGTGTCCAACGAGGCCTGAATGACTTCGTTGACCTGTTTTTGCTCAGGTATTGTATCATCGCCGAACATGGCGCGAATAACTCCAACTCTCTGTGGGGAACGAGCATCAAACTGAGAGGCAAAGCTCCCCCCGCGCGGCATATCGAGTGCACGGGCATGAATAGCCGTAACACTGTCATTCTCATCGTAGCCAGCAACTGCATCTAGCAACAGTGCCAGGTCGGTTACCGTCCTCGCCATTGGTCCAACAGTTGACTGTCCATGTACGGCACGCAAACCCCCATAGCCGCTGATAAGCCCGGCCGTGGGCCTGAAGCCAACGAGAGAGCAAAAGGCTGCTGGGACACGGCTGGAACCGCCAGTGTCGCTTCCCAACCCCACAACAGCCAGATTTGCTGCCAGAGCTGTTGCCGTTCCGCCGCTGGAACCGCCTGGGTCCCTTGCAAGGTCGTATGGATTGCGTGTCGTCCCGGAGAGGGAGGAGTTTGAGAACCAGTCGGTCCCCCAGTCTGTGAGTGTATCTTGAATCAGTACAATCGATGTGGTGTTAAGATCAATAAGCTTGCTCACCAGGCATCGTAGTTTTGGCCAGGATGATGGCCCCGGCAGATTTGAGCTTAGCCACAGCGGTAGCATCCTCCTCGGGAATGTAGTCCTTGGCAACAATAGAGCCATAAGTGTTGGGCATTCCTTTTGTCTTTAGATGGTCCTTGACGACGACTGGGATCCCGTGCAGAGGCCCGACGAAGCGCCCATCCTTGGCGAAAGAGGCATCCAGTCGCTTCGCCTCCTCGAGCGCTGCGCCATTGATGGCTAAAGTAGAGTTGAGCTTGGGCCCGTCGTTAGCCTTGTCGATTTTTTGGATGCGATCAAGAAAAGCGGCCGTTAGAGCTTCAGCAGTAAAGCGGCCTTCTTTGTAGGCCGCGTGTATCTGGCCGATGGTGATTTCTTCCAGTTGAATGCCCGCCATTGTATGTAATGTTGAATTTGATGCTTAATGATTAAATCTGTCAACAGAACCATTGAAGGATTGCGCGGGGTATTTATTTATGGACGAACAAAAGTGCAATTGATTTTCCGAAGAGGCATGATTCTCCGACTGCAACGCAAATCGGCCGAACGAGTCGGAGTCGGACTCTCACTCATGCATGTTTCAGCACCAGAAACACGAGGATGACGCCCCGCCACAAGGTTACTCGAAGACTTCCGGAAGCACCGGGTCATCGCAGTGTGGGCGCGCTTGATGTTCAAATGAGCGTATTCCGTGACGAGTCTTACCGGGCCTGGAGTTGAGACAACGTGTCATTCTGGTTCTCATCAGGATCAATGGCCTCCACATGTACATGATCCAGCCTAGACTCGGGATAGACGGCCGCGCGGTTGTGGAGCAGGAGAAAACGAGGAGTGGTTCTGTTGTCTAAGTAGTACCTGATGATGATTGTTCATTCAATTCATTTCTCGGTCAGACTGGCCTATGCTCAGCTAGCTAATGAATGGTCTTTTGCAAAGAAGGGAGAGGTAAAAAGTGGTGTTGTGTTGATTCACCTAGACGATCGTGATCTCCTGCTCCGGTGGTAGATTATAAAAAAGCATGAGAGCATGCTCTCTCTTCGTTCCCGCAAACGTCCATACACCGCACCGAAGATAAGTCCCATCACTCATCCGAGATAGAGCCAGTCCGCTAAACGAGTATGTGTCTGCTGTACCCCATGTTCCCGAAATAGGGAAGCAGAAGACTTCCCTAGCAACATCCTTCTTCGTATCAAACAAGACTGTTCCACGATGATCTCCACCAGCGTAGTCCACCGATTGATCTAGATAACTTGCAACTGCACGCAGCGTCTCTTCATCCCCGTTCCCGGGATGAGTTCTCAGATTTGCAAGGGCCAGTTTCCCTCTGAGAGTGATTGCACCGTCCAGCAGACCCTCGGCAGATAAACTCATGCCCACGCTTACAAGCTCACAGAAAAGCCGAGTGTTAGCATTTGTCGGACAACTGATGTGAAAGTCAATAATACCATCCACGGATGCCCAACTCCACGACGGCACCTGAGATACTGCTAGCCGCGTTCCCGCACCAGATACACTCCACACCAATCCCGTAGGAAGCATTAGCTTCCACATTCCCGCGAGGTATGTGGTGTCGTTACACCCCTGCCCTTGTAATGAACGCTTCATATTCTCTGCCACAACCTGAATATTCTGTAACTTCTCGTCTGATGATGCCACAGCACAGCGTGAATATTCACGTAGAAGGTGGAACCAGCGCGTAAAGATCTGATCAATGTAGTTTTGCTTGACCGGAAACTCCACACCAATGAGCGGTTTCCAACATTCGGTTAAGGAGGTATGATCATCAGCCGTCTCTCCCTCACGGCCCATAGAAAACCCCGCAGGAGTAGACCAGCCACTGAGGTTGACCTCATCACATATAGCGCCATAGCATTCCCAGTACACCAGCCGTTGGCCGAAATGGACCATCCGTGGTGACAGGAGGCGTTGCCGGAAAATCTGTGCGTTTGCAGATGCTGGCTCTTTATGAAATGCGTGAGCACCAACCAACTCCTTATTTGTCGTCAGAATATATGGAGTCGCCTCAAAACCGGTGAGAGGAGATTTGAGTATGGTTGGGATTATGAGATCTGGATCACGTCCAGTAAAAAGTCCAGAATAGGGATCCGTAGAGCCCACTGCGCATATACCAAGAAGTGCCTGAGAGAAGATTTGATTGGTTTCATTTGCTTTCAAAAGTTGGTCGGATCGATCATCTTGTAGAACACAGAGCTGGTCAATCCAAAGGTAGGAAAGGCCCAGTCTATCCACTATAGTAAATGCATCACGGTAGGCTAAGGGGAGAGCTGATAGAGGCTGCGGTTTTGACAGCGAGGATAATGTCGACTCCGTGAGCTGGAAGTTGTTGCGAGTAAAAGAATGGGATAAAGTGACATATTGAGCCCCTGGTGTAATGGTATTTCCATTTGTTATATGAAATGTACCAGTAGGCTTATCAAGCCGAAGTAGACGAGGTGGAAGGTAGCTTGTTGGTTGGTTGCAGCGCTCATGATTGTCAAGGCAATTATATAGCCAATTTTTTATTACCTCCCAAGTGGCCTCATCTCCAGTAGAAGTACCAAGGTTGAGGTTGAGATCGTCATCTGTTTTTACTTTCGATTAGCACAAATTTTATGCACTGGGACTCACATTGAACTCACCATCATACTGACATAGGTTGATGCCCTCGTATCTGTCACCGACTGACAAATTTACGGAAGGCATGTCATCCAAAGATGCAATTCTGAAGAGGGAATAATACCCTAACTCAATGGCTTTAGGGTGAGCTTCCTGCTCTTCCTTGAATATACAACATAGAGAGCAGCCATCTCGCACTGACATCTGGAAGGACTCAGAAGTTGCGTGATGCCCAAACATGAAGTTATCTGGGCGGCTGAAGTCACGATCACCCAACCCAAGAAGCTCCAGCAAATCAGGGCCAAAATATTCGTCAACTCGGCAGACCTTTCTAGTATTGGGCGTATCCCAGATGCCTTGAAGGACCTCACGACACACTCTGCAAAGCATAATGGAGATTTAATAATTAGAGCTCATGTGATATTGCGGAATGAAGGGTATGCAAATATCATTTGAACCAAATGATGAAGAAGGTAAAGAAGGGATGGTATTTGAAGATGTCGAGTCACTAACGGACGTAATTGCCTACGATCTTATATAAACATGTACGTAGTACTTGCCAACCTTTTTGGGGATAGGAATTTATATAAAATACGTTGCATACGACTGCCATAAACGATACGAACTGGGAATCTTGAGCCCACGTAGTAATCTGTGGTACCTACCCCTGCAACCAAAGCACAATTACATGCACCGCGTAATTCGTATTTGGCCTAAGTTTGACCCCCCTGTAAGATGCCTTTGCCTTGTGTCTCCACTTGGATGTAACAGAGCTGATCTGTCTCACATGCCCGTCGGTTGGTCAACAGATAAAATCCCGAACTCTCAAGCCTCTCGCCAGGAATTATAACCGAAGAGTAGCACTATGTGGCGTGAAGTGCAGTCGTGGCGTGTTGAATGTAACAATACTGTGGGATAGTCATGCCTTACGGTGCAATATTAGATGAACAAAATCAAAATAAAGAAGGAATGACTCTTAATTGAAATGCACCTATATGTCTCTCTTAGCATAGATTACATAGTGCAAAATCAAGGCAGAACTTCCACTTTGACTCGGTCTAGGTTCCACGCCAAAGCAATGTTCGTATTCACGTCGCCCTCACGATGGGAAGCGACCCGCACGCCGGCAAAATAGACACCGGGTGTTGCGTATGCAAAGGAGAAAGACAACTCAACCTCTGCTCCCACTGTGATGCTTTGGCTACTGAAGTCACCAGTGCCCAACGGATCAAACTCGACTTTTACAATCTGTCCGACGTTGGTGGGGACTTGCGCTTCGACGCGGATCTCTACCCTTTGTCCGGCAGTCACCTGGATGTGGTCGCCTCCAGCAATCCGGGCCTTGACGACAGGTTGGATACCCCGACGATCTGTCGCTGACGGAGGGACACTGACCTGCCCGCCCTCAATCGTGTAATTTGTAGGCTGGGGCGGGACGATGCCTTCCTCCTCCCACAGCACGAGGTCGCGCAGGTGTTGTTGATACAACCCCGTAAAGTCAACGACTCGTCGTGTGATGGGCGCACTCAGATGGCCCATCAGATGATCCGCGTTGTCGTTGTAGTAGAGACGAAAATGGTCATCAAGGCTGCCCTTGGCCTTCTCGACCTGGTCTTTGTACCAATCTGCATGCCAGGGAAGCGCATCAAAGTCGAGAAGATTGTCCATGACGATCGTCTTCATGGTGATGTTTCCAGAGTGCAGGCCGCCACCTGCGCTTGATTGTGATATTAGAGGGCCAGCTACAATCGCACGCTGGGGGTAGATGGCCGAGCCGTTTCCGTGGCGTAGACAGTCGTGAGCATACCAACCTCCCTGAGACTGAGGGAGCTGATGGCGATGATAGGTGTGGGCGGCCAGGAACCAACGATTGTCAACTATGATATTCTCACCCTGCGTCAGGGCTGCAAGTGTCACCTCAGCGGCACCAGCGAGGATATATACCGTGCGAGATGAAAAGTCGAGCGTCCCAGAGAACCAGCGCTGGGTTCCATTGACCATAACTGAAAAGCCTAGTCCAACAGCGTCTGCTGCGTGAGTTGGCAGGTTCTCCAAGACAAACTCTGACACCAATCTATCCTCGCCTACATTGACGCTGTGGATGGTGCTGTTGAACTCGATCAGCGCGTCGCGAAACCGGTCTCCTAGCGCACCTTTTTCGCTGCCTGCGTAACCTTGCTTGGCCCAAAAATCATCAACATACGTGGAATCCATGTCTTGGATCATGGGAACGGCAATGTCCTTCATGGTCTGCCACAGCTGGGTGCTGTTCCCGGCAATGGCCTCCCAATCCTCCCATCCCCTTGGAGGAATACCAAGGGCACTAATCTCACGCAAAACATCTTTCTCAACCTTATCAAGTCCACGGTAGGGATCACCGCTGCCACCAGGCTGAACGGCCGAAATAATCTCATCTTTGTGTTGGGCTAGGATCAGCCCACCGAGAGACCGCATATTCCAATTGTATGGAATGGACATGGGAACTGCCTGAATAAGAACCACACAACCATCCCAGACACCAAAAGTATTCTCGGCAGCCCCAACAGTCTTCAGGGAGCCTCCACTGCCGCCATACACATAACCATGAATTTTCTCGGATGATATCTTGTAGTACTCGCGTGCCAGCTGACGAGTAAACTTGGCCAGAGCGGCATCAGCCCGATATCCTGTCGTCCCCGCGCCATGGACTGTCACACCGCCACTCTCCACGCCAAACTCGATCTCGTTGTCGTCGGCTGTCGAGTTCTGAGATGGGTAGACGAGCTGGAAGAACCGTCCCTTCCATTGATGGGGTGGAGGAAAGTAGAGATTGAAATCCGTATCTGTACCATTGAAATGGCCGGACACCCTATGATGCGGTACGGGATCATCCGCGTCCGTTTCATTGTCGATGATGATAGAGGCGTAGTCTGGGTCGAGACAATCCTTTGTGATCAAGAGCGCTCCATGTTGGTTCTGCACGCAGTCAACTGCATCATAAGGCTGGATAGGAGGCCAAGTAGAAATTGTTGAAGCAACTACCGAAGCTGCTATGCCAATATTAACTCTATCAAAACCAGGGTTTAGTTCAAGGCCTAATTAGAGATTACTTGAGAAGAGCTCCTACCTCATTGTAGAGCAGAGAAAGAGGAGGGCAGAGAAAGAGGAGAGTGTAGACCAGCAAAAAGTTGCCATGGAAAATGTAGACAGAGATCGTCAGGTCAGCTCCGCGGGCGTCGGGATATATATTTGCAAAACCCTCGACCTCCTGACACGGCATGACGTTGCAAACAAGCCAACGACATTGAAGGCTGTGATGTGGAGTGCAATTTCGCGCCGCCGTTCGTACTTTGTCTGTGTTGAACGCGCCGCAATACCGCCAATACACACTATTCAAACGTTTCACTGAACTCAGCCCCCGCCAAGTAGTGGGGAAGCCAACGGTATTTCAGGAGACAGACGCCGCAGATCTCCAAATCAGAAGAGCGTACCCACGTATAAGTACAAGAGCCAATCATGGATTTTACGCTTTCCAACTCGGTTAAGCCACGCAATCTTGGAAACAGCCGAAGGAGTAAGTACGTACACGGCAAATGAACAGAAATCTATGGAATTATTTGTGTACCAACATAGGCAACATCAAGACGCTGATATTAGTACTCAATTCTTGGCATCCCTCGTCGCAAATTGCCCTGGGGGTTGTTATGCACCAGTACGGCCGAGCTACCCTAGACTATAGCAATAACCCTCTATTATCCCAACGTACACTCTCCGCTAGAGGATGAATTCCACAGCTAAGAAAGAAAAAATAGGACAAATCACATTGGAAGACTAATGGGAGCGTCTACTGTAGCTGACTACTTCAATGTTGCACCTGTAAACCTTTGAAGTCCTTGGAAAATATTTCGCATTGGTTTACCACAAATGACTACCCTTATCGTAAGCATGTTATGCTTAATCTAGCTTGCGCGTAGAAGGAACTACATAAAACTAAGTGAGCATACTTTCTAGGATACGTATAGCGAGATAGACTAGGGCACTTGACTCTGAACATCTGGATACCTGGCACCAGACATATGAAGCCCTTGCCAGCTAGCAGAAAAGCAACCTTACTCAGCATTGAATCGGCAAATAACACTTACCTAATAAGAACCAAATCGGTAAACGTGGGGCGGACGTAACAAGAAGGATCAATAGATAATCCGCGCATCAACCCCTCATGTTGTTAAACTCAAGACCAAGCGACCCTTCACTCGGCTACATGAACAAAGGTCCTTACCTCAGTGTAGTGCTCAGGTTCAGCCACCCCAAGCTCACATCACTCTATGCCGGCCCTTAAAAGCCTCAAAACCACACTGTAACCCTTTCCAAAAATGGTTTCATCTATCCGTCGTTCTAGAATCCAAAGTGAGATTGAAGAGACGTATGATGGGCTACAAGATGTCAACAAGGAACTTCGAGAAGTTCAGACCGACATTTACCGTGAGTCTTTTCGGTGGAATTTGATTTCGGGGGGCTTGGAAACCTCTGATCGCCCAGAGTACTGGGCCGACCCGTCCGGGCGTGATATTTGGGGTCTCATGCGGGACGGGCGGGGGCTCGAAGAATGGGGATTTGGGCTTCACCTCGACGACCTTGTCAGATTAAGAGTGCGTGTACGGACAAAGCTCAAGGACCTAGGCGACTTCAGAAAGGAACTTGAAGACTTTCAGCACGAGTACAGGCTGATTATCAACAAGCTATATCGACTTTCAGGCCCAGGATTACGCAATATATTAGACATGCCAGAGGAAATTCTTTACCATATTTTTGAGTTAGTCGAAGGATTCTCGTGGCAGTATCCCGATTTCTGGCATTTTCCTTCTGGAGATATAAAAAACTGTCGACTCACCTGTCAGGCGTTTAATTGCGTCAGTTCTCGGTTCTTCCTCCGTTCCGTGTCCGTGGAGTTGAATGCTTCGTCTCTTTCAAAGTTCAATGAGATATCCAACCACCCGACCATCAGCAAGGGGATACAATTCGTTCGAGCCATCCTCCACTTTTATGAGACTTCTCTTGGCGACAGTTTACGAGATTTCATTCTTTACAATGCTGACGTGCTTCGCGATCGATTGCAATCAATTGAGTTGATGAGACCATGGAAATATGAAAAAAATGTTTCCGAGGAAACTGGCAACAGAGTGGTGGAAACACTGAAAGAGACTTTGGCATGCTGGGAGCGGATTGCTACAGATACACAAGCACAATCTCTTGCCGACCAGGACCGCACCTACCTCGAACTACTCAAAGCAACTCATCAAAGATATCAGAGCCTGTGTTCTTATCAAGAAGAAATGCTACAAAGTGGGAGTTTTTTGCAAGCGGTAGCCGCGGGAGTATCGAGGATGCCCTGTGCAAAGACAATGTTCTTTTGCGACCAGAACCTCGCAGCTTTGCCGCGTATTTCGTTCCTTCATTCGCAGGACATCAATGAAACACTCTGCGAGTTTATGCTCCAGCCAATGAGTTACTACACTGCCATGCAGTATGGTTTCACACCGAGGCTCTGCGACTTGATAACCAAGCTTCCGGTGGCAGTCCATCATGCTGGGGCATGGCTCGGAAGAATTGACATCGACTTGTCACATGTGGACTCTCCTTCAGATTTAACGCCAAGCCCCGAGCTGCGGCAGCAGCTTCCACTGGCCATGCAGCGACTGCGCCAGTTCACCATTAGGTGTACAAACGGGCTCAATGGAGAAACAAGTCAAGATGTCCTTAACGACATGTTTGGATCGTGTTTAGATACAGGGAGTCTGCGAGAAATTTCCATCGAGATGCCGCAGAAGAGAGAGCCACATTCAGACAAGCTGAGTGTCGGTAGGATCATCACATCACGACATTGGCAGAATCTATCTCGAATATTTTTACGTGGGGTCGCTTTCCACTTTTCGGAGCTTCAACTCTTCATCAGCAGGGCCCCCAAGTCGTTTTATGCATTGAACGTGGACCGCGTCTATCTGCTGAGCGGAACGTGGGCCGATGTTCTGGATACCTTGCGAGAGAAGCCTCTCATTGCTCATGTGCAGCTGGAGGATCCATTGGGCGCCGAGTGCGACGACATGTCGGTTGAAGAGCTGAAGAGAATATTTTTCAGAGAAGTTTTTACCCTCAGCCAAGCAGAGCAGTATATTTCACGGCTTACCCCTCAAAATCCTTTGAGAGACCAGGAGGGGTTGGACCACAATGCTGCCGTCGTGGGATCGGAGGATGAAATGGAGACTGAACTGTAATGCCGCAGCAGCAGGAAGATGTCCGAGGTCAGATGCACATCTTTGAGGTACGGATTTAAACCAGCGGTGGCAATGCTCCTGCTGCATGAAACTCGGGGGCAAAAGAGCAACTAGGTCATCCTTGATTGACCCAGTAATAACGCAGAACAGAATTCCTCAGAAGCTTATGTTTTACCTGCTAGGAATGTGGATAATTTCAGGTTGGGGATCCTGTGGGCTGCGTTGAGACACATGGGCACTCACTCTAGTACTGTTGTCCAGTCGGGAGATATCTAAAGGTTTCTGATAAAACAAGAACATCAAAGATACTCAGAAATATACATTATTGTGCCTGACAAAAGGTACTTATACACCCAAGATTCACCTTGTCCGCTTCCTTTTAACCTGCGAGTCTTAACGTAGCCAAAGAGGTTAGACATAGGTCTTATTGAATCCCTTTAGTGTGATGCGGGGAGAAAGTCCCTGACTCATTCGATGGGCATGGAGCTTCAAGATGAGTTTAAGCTTCTTAAGCATTGTCTTTTTTTTTTTCCATTAAAAATGCGACAGCTCATGCCTCCCTTTCTTAGGTTTGACGGAAAAGGGTGTACGCATGACACTCTGGATCACAGCATACCTGGGGCTCCCTTGTGTCTTAAATATCAGAAACAGTGGCTTGCCGCTCCGTCTATCTTTTACCGTATAGATAGACGAGATCGTACGATAATGCCACTCCATGAGAAAGTCAGCAACTGAGAAATGCAACATAAGAACTTCCGTCCATGCTGACGTTAGACACGCCGTTCTTCTGTCGATTTTGACTGCATCTGGCAGAAATGAGTTTTGGCTGTTTCAAAGGTAGACAAAAGCCGAAATAAACCAGCCTAGATATACGGCATGTATAAAATGGCCCCAAACCTCTCGTTTGAGTGATCATGTTGCATTCACTCAAGGCAAATATCAATCAAACAAAAGGAGAAAAACTTCGAACTCAACTCAAGAAACTTCAGCTCAAACACATTGGATCAAAATGCTCTTTAAATCTACGGCAGTCTTGTCCACTTTGGCCCTTCTCTTCGCTGGCCAGGCCCTGGGTAGTCCCGAGGCTAACGGAGCGCTCATCGCCACTGACCCAAGTGAGTAGTCCCAACCCCCGCCTCCAAAATTTCAAAGAACCATTAGAATAGGCCGATTATACTCACATATTGCCTGGAAAAGAGTCTGCCTGTAGATGTCCTAGGAATTGTGGCCACCGGGCTGGAACTAGCTGCAAGTTCTATGCGGGTAACTCTGACAAATCTACTGTCGTGAGCGGAAGTAAGCGCTGCCTAGACACCCGCATCTCACTTTTGAAAGTGTACTAACAGGAAATGAAGAGTGTGGCAGGAGGGGCGATGGTCTGGTTTGCATCCCATAAGGGTTATTTTTTCTACTATCAAGGACAGGAGGCGGGATAGCTGTTTTATCCAACGGTGCTTGGGAGGCTGTAGCGGTGTCGGATGATCCCATAGTAGGCAGTCAATAAAATTGAGGGAAGATGAGTCTCGCTTAAAGGATTGATACTTAGTCCAACTCCTTTGCCATGGGGACCGTGTTTTCCGCTTGTTGCAGTAGCCTCATTATTCATCAGCTACTCCGTTGGGTCGGTGAAGGAAGTTTGTTGGAAATGTAGAGCACGATAGACACTCATACAAGCCCTAACAATCCACGTAACCTCGAGTCATATGAGTGGTACGTAGTGGAGAAAGCGAGGCTGCTATACTGTGTAAAGGCCTTGTGGTTGGGTGTACTTGGTGAATATATTGTAACTAGACAGTCGACCGCACTGCAGCTAGTTTGGTGCTTGTTTTCCGAGAATAATGGAAATACTTGATAGAAGTCTTGAGAAGCCGGGGCACCAATTTTCTCCACCTTGTGATTATTGTAATTTGGGCAGCGGTGAGCGTACTTGGATCTCACAGCTCTCGACGACCCGTCACGGAGACAAGCCTATTGGTTTCTAAGAATGGAGTATTTTGAATATAGAAACACTTAGGTATCACGAATTACGAATTCATGGAATTCCATGAAACGAGTTGGCTGAGCTGTACAATTGAGGCATTTCGAATACCAACTGTTGAACTGACATGTGGGTACGTTTTGCGAATTCACGGAATTCCGTGAAGCAGGTAGCAGCAACATCGGATCTCTACTGAATTTGCTATTACAATGCGCACTTGGATTTGTAAGCTTATATACATCATAGACGGTGTTTTCTTTTCGCGATTAACTTCAAGTCTAGCTTCTATCTTAACAAGACGAGATATATAACAGAGCTTGCAGGCTCGTTCTTTGGGTATCGGCCATCTCAACACGATATTTCGCTTTCTAAAAGACGTCTTAAGTTACCTGCCCTACACATGTCGGAATCCAAACACATGTCTAATCTGGTCTTGTATCGCACCAATGGAGCCTGCTCCCTGGCACCGCATATCATCTTGAACGAGCTTGGGCTGCCCTTCACGTCCGTTGTCCAGGGCTCTTCCCCAAAAAGTACGATCCCCCCAACATTTGAAATCGACATTGATGAGTACCGCAGAACCATCCATCCGCAGGGCTATGTCCCAGCACTTCGGGTGGATGATGTGATCATCACGGAAAATGCCGCCGTCATGTTCTACCTGGCGCGTCAGAAGCCTGAGAGGAAGCTGGACGGCAGCTCGTCGCTCGAACAGGCACAAGTTATATCTTGGATGAGCTTCTTGGCTGGATTCCTTCAGGGGCAGGCATGGACTCCTCACTGGGCCCCGAGCCGTTTCACGACCTCGGAGGATGCGAGCCAGCTAGAGGGAATCAGCAGCAAGGCAAAAACCAAGGTTGAGCTTGGATATGATTTGATTGAGCAGCGATTGAAGGGCTTGTTTGCTGTTGGCGAAGCAGATACTGTTGTCGACTTTTACTTGATAGTATTTTACAACTGGGGACGGAATTATGGCGTTGACATGTCCAGATTTCCAAAGCTTGGAGCATTGATCGCTCGGATGGAACTGAAGCAGTCGGTTAGAGATACGATCAAGGCAGAGGGGTTGATCACGTACTTTGACTAAATGGGGGATATGGAAATGTACCTGCTTGGGACCCAATGTCTTGTCAATGGAAGAGAAGATGAGGGTCTTGGTATTTAAGATAGCCGTTAGACAAGGATGTTCGCAAGTACCCCAACCAGAAGTGCCCATTCGCATATCCCATTCGAAGCTCTTCAAAGTTCTCCTTGGCTATGGTAGTCGCCGTTTGACCGCCTTGTTAATTTCAACCCTTCTTCGCGAGCGTGATATACAATTCTCCGAGATCATTATTTAGTTACGCTCGCAACTCAGTCAGGCCTTGATCCCCTTAAAGTAGATGGGCCGGGGCTAACACTGGCCCCGATCCCTGGTTTCGCTGACAAATGCTCATTCCTATGGGCATGTCCGTGGGGAACCGGAGCATTTACCTCAACTTTCACTTTTACTTTGCTGCTGGCTGAGGTACCAAGTGTGGCAAGATGGACGGACAATCTCTTCTGCAGTGCGCCCTCTGTAGCAAAACTTTTAGCAAGGGTGAGTTGAGCCCCTAGATGAGGTTACCGTACCTAAATCTTTAGTTTCAGAGTCCACGTCGAGAAGACATTGGTACTACTGCCGGTCCAAAGCAGGAGCCAGTGTCTCGAGACCTAGATCTTGTTATTCGTGTGTGAGACGGAAAGCTCGGTGTGACGAAGAGCGACCCTCATGCGGAAGATGCACATCCAGGAACATTGGTTGTGCTTACCCAACCAACACAGCCCAAGGTGTCGGCCGTGGTTCGAGAATGCGGGGTGGTAACAGCAGACTACATACAAGAGCATCAGCGTCATTGGCCACTGGCCTTACAAGTGTCGAAGATAGTTTGGGAGCACAAAAAGACGGGATGGATTTTGTTACCACGTCTACTGCCCCACGCTCAGAATTACGGCACCTGGGAGACGTTGAATCCGGCTGGGACGACTTGGCAATCGACTCCAATAGCTCGAGTGGCCCTTTATCGAATGAAATGGTACGGCACAATTCGCTCATACCAGGTCCCCCAACAGTTACCTCAACTTCGGCTGTCTACTCGACGAATGCGCCCATGATGCCACAGCGAAATCATTCAACCACTGACAACTTCCCCCAAGCCATGTTGGTTGCCGCACACCCTGTTTGGACGCCCCGATTGTTCATCCAGCGACCCAAGATGACTACCGGGGGACAGAGAACGGCAAACCTAATTCACTATACGCTTCAATCCTATTCGCAGAGGCTGCTGCACCAAACCGAGATGCCACCCTTCATTCATCCTTATTCCACATCTGCCGCTGAAGGTGGGGAAACTCGTATTGGTTCACTGAATACATGTGCCAGCCTTCTTCATGTCCTTCATTGTGGAGTTCCAGGAAGCCCAGCTCTGTTTTGGAGGAATGTGCAGTGCGAATGCGAGCGTCTACGTAATGAGGTATGTTAATAACCAGAAAGACTTTCAAACTGCTAATCTAGAACTTTCCAGGCTCTGTCTATGAATAAGTGGGAACTATTAGCTGCTTTGCAAGCATTGGCAATATATGTTATTGAAAGACTAAATACAGATGGAACAGGGTACGAGACTCTGGATCCTCTACTGATTAGAACAGTGACCGTAGGACTGCACCCTAACCTGGTCATCTTATGTGTGAGATCCAGCTGATGGACGCAACATAGGATTTGGCTCAACAATATTCCGCTGTCGATATCAGCGTCGACTTAGATCCCGAAAGGCTATGGTGTGACTGGATTTTCAACGAGTCTACTCATAGGTAAGTCGGCATCTTATCTGATACGCTGCAAAGATCTCATTGCGCATGATTCGGTTGACAATGAGAAGGTTATGTATAGTGTATAGAGTGATAGATATGCTGGTGCACTTTGAGCCAGCAGCCATGTGCCCTTTTTACAACACAGGCCTCGTCATTGCGCCACTACCAGCAAGGAAACAACTTTGGAAGGCCGACAATGCCAGCACCTGGCATAGGGAGAGGGAATTAGGAGCCGGTGTGCAAACGTCCTTTGCATTGTTTGCCAATGGTGAGCTGGTCAATATGGCACAAGCGCCGTTGCGTGTTCCCGACTGGAGAAGAGATAGGGAGCTGTTGAATGCAGAGTCCCAGCCAGGTAATGCCGCAAATTGGAACGAGTGGTGTTCAGGCATGGATGAGTTTGGCAGCCTCGTGATGCTTGCTGCTTCGTCTATAGAGATGTGCTCACCAACAACCTGAGATGGCGTCAATATATCTCAGACTTATTTGCCTTGGATATGCTTTTAAAAAGGAGAGCTCATATTTGACACCTTTTTGTGTCTCTCTGCAATCATCAAAAGATTTACGGATAGCTTATCTACCTACCACTTTTCTACTACTTCTAGCTAAGACTCTACGCAGTAGCTAATACGATTCGTTGATATAGAGCCTTTATTAATATATACATATATTTTATTATAAATATACTGTAAAGGCATAAGGAGGGATAAAAGTACTGCCATTCATGTAAAAGGATTTTATTTAATCCACCTCGGACGATACGGCAGAGCAACACATGTGATCGGATGGCCTAGATGCCGATTTGGGCTTGAATAAGGGTCTGTGATGCTCATCAGCCAACCACGATCCCTGCTAATGAACAACACCAGATCCACCCGCGCGGTTGTGGGTCAAATCGTAGCACCTACATCATTATGGGCTGGATTGGGAGAGTTGATTATCAATGAAGAATGTGTTGCGTTGGTATAAATAGGAAGATATGTCTCATATCTCAGCTTCTTGTATCATACTATAGCAAATCAATATTGTTACTTAGTTATTCTTCACCCTTCGCTCTAAAATGGCTGCCAATTCTGTTGTCCTCATCCTAGGAGCTGGGCCGAGAGTCGGCACTTCCGTCGCTACGGCTTTTGCCAGGGATAGCTACAAGGTAGCGATAGCGTCTAGGAGTAGCACAGGTGGGAAAACTCCAGAGGGTTTTCTCTCCCTCAAGGCTGATCTAGCCGAGCCAGAGTCGATCCCTGGTCTGTTTGATGCAGTGAAGAAGGAATTCAACACTGCTCCAAATGTTGTAGTGTACAATGGTGCGGCACTCACGCCTCCTCCAAAGGAGGATTCACTGCTTTCGGTACCCTCCGAAGCTCTTGCTTCGGATTTGAGTACCAACACTATCAGCCCTTATGTCGCTGCACAACAGGCCATCAAGGGCTGGCAAACACTGCCCAAGGAGGTCAAGAAAACCTTCATATATACCGGCAACAAATCAAACGTTTCTCTGATGCCAATCCCCATCACGATGACGCTTGGGGTTGGCAAGTCCGCTTCGGCATACTGGATTGGTCTCGCTGACACTATGTACTCGGCCCAAGGATATCGGTAAGTTTTTTTCGTGCTCGAAATGTCACATATAACAAAATGCTAAGCTCCTAGATTCTTTTATGCCGATCAACGCAACGAAGACGGTAGTCCTGCTGGCTTTGGGCTGGATGGTCCTGCGCATGGTGATTTCTATACTCGATTGGCCAAAGACGGAAATGTGCCGTGGCATGCCACCTTTGTGAAGGGCCAGGGATATGTTGCGTTCAAATAAACGATCAGCCTATGCTGCCTATCCTCCTGTCCTTTGCTGTCATTTGCTCCATCGGAGTCAAGGACACGCCTATCTTGGTGCACCACCCATCAGACTAGCAATACCATATCACCCTGAGCTTTGAAGCATGCAGAAAAGTCCAGATACACATCCTCATCTTTGCTGTGCCACACATTTTCCATGACCTCCAGTGCTTTCCGTACCGTACTAAACACTATTGAGGGCTGCAAAGCCCCGACTATTCGACGTATTTCAGCTCGTTGGGCCGGCTGAGCGAGACAGCCTGCAATGCAGAATGGCCATACCATAGGGCGTAGCAATGTATGGGGGGTTTGTTTATTTGCTAACAAGTCCATTATCTGGCTAACATGGTGTTGGACCTCGTCGCTCACTGGCTGCCATCCGGACACCACGACAAGCAGGTAAAGGAGGGTGGCATGGGTCCAGACAAGCGTAACCAGACGGCGTGAGCTCGATGCGCCATAATTCGGGGCAAGAAGATCCAATAAGTTCCCACCGGGTTTACAACCCTCAGTGGGCTCGCCATCAAGGCGCACGATTTGCCCTTCTAGGATATTTTTAATCCGTGTCGCGCGGCTGGTCAGCTCAATCATATCGAGCTTCCCGGCGTTCTGACGTTCCTTTTTCCATTCGTCGAGGACAGCAATCTCACCAATCTGTAAAATTGTCGTGTTTTGACATCCCATAACTTCGTCCAAGTTTATCACAGGTACGCGTCCTTCAGTGCTCTCGAGTAGACTGTGGTGATACTGATAGAGGCGAGGTCGTTTTTGCAACGTAGTACTCGCAATAATATCATCGAATAATAGAAGAGCGGTCGAGAAATAAAAAGCATCCTGCTCAGCGCTCGGAATGAGGATGTGCTCGGCCGGGGGGATGTATGACGATGGCCCCAGGCGGCCCATGAATGTATTGAAATTTGCTCGTAGCCCAACAGGCTCAACATTGCATGGCCTGACAAATAGTTGGCAGAAGAGTGCTAGAGCAGCATTGAGATGTGCGCCGCAGTTCTCAAATGTCAGCGCCGCGACCTCAAAGTGAAGCATCTGCACGATGCTGACCATGATCTGTACCGTGCCGTGGGGATTTTCGACAATATCCGACCCGTTCATGGCTTGAATTGCTCTTTCCAGACTCTGAAAGGCCTCTCTGACTTGCGAGAATACAGTATCGCATATGACCTCGCGACTATCCGTCCCCTGCGCAAGGCAGAAGAAGAAACAACCCTGGCATAATGTAGCTTGCCTGACCACCGGACTGCGGATCATCAGCTCCAAGATCCATGCTGTCCCACCTCGTGCGATCGGGGGACGATAGAACGGAAACAGGAAGGGGAGCACACTCTGAAGGTAAAATGTTGTGAGAATTGAGTCGGATCGGTCCAACAGGCTGCTTCTGTCGAGATGCCCACAGCCCGTCCCTTGTGATAGTGATACATGTGAGTCTGTGCCATTGTATGTCCCATTTTGCGTCTGTTCTGGCATCATGTTTTGGGGTCCTGTCGACCATTCACCAAAGCCGGTATTGAACACCTTCTCACCAGAGACGTGCGGACGCTCAACTCGGCGGTATGGCGCTTTCTGCTTCACTTCTCGTTTCAGGTTCTCCATCATTTCCTCCTGTTTTGCGCCACCGTCCATCCACTCGGGCTTCTTGTCGTCGTAGTGGCAGGTGATGCAGAGGGCTGCACAAATGTCACATACAGGGTGCTGTTCATCGCATTTCTTCCGTCGTAGCCGACAAGTCCAGCATCCATGGGAGATCCTCGCTGTTCGGGATGGTGGCTCCATTGTAGCATTTCAATCGGACATGACATTCTATTCTGAAGGATGTGCGGAGCGAAGTGAAGGACTGTCTAGTGCCATAGTGAACGGGACAATTTGCCTGAGACACAACGAGATGATTACGCGAGCAATTCCGGCGTTAGCGGGGGCGCGTAAATTCTTCCAGGGAGCAAGAGTCAGCAAGGGAGTAGCAAGGTCGAGATACCGGGCTACCGGCTGCTAATAGCCTCCACAAACATAAGTTTGGAGGCTGGATGACAAATACCACCGACCAGCCTGATAGTCTATTCGATAGATACCCCTTCTACGCCTCTTAGTTAGCCAAGGAGACAGTCTCATCGTGGTTTACCTATGGCTCGGGAGGCCTCAAATAGCACGTGTTATCGTCCAATCATTCAGCGTCTACCCCTCTCCAGGGGTTCAGCTTCATTGATAGCTACGTCTTACCGCTCTATCAAAGGATGAAACGTCTCGATCATCGCATCTCGGTCTGAAAAGTAACATGTGGCCAGCCAAAGATCTCTCCATATAAATGGAATCCACAAGACAGATCGCCGGTGGTCCGTTCTGCGCTCTGTGTGGGGGAACATTCCGCGCACGCCGAGCTGATTCTGACACGCCACCCCTGAATTGGACGTCAATAATCCGTCATGGTACGCGCAAAGAAATCACGACGAGAAGCTGCAGATGGGGTCCGTTAACCATTGCCCGAATGAAATATAGTCTCATGCTCGATGGGCGTGATGTCCCCCAGATTGAGTCAATCATGTTACGTCGCATGGAGGGCCGCAGGGTGGCCCGGGCCAGCCAACCCGGCTGCGGACACGACCGTGCAAGGCTTGGAGCCGTACTATCTGGCTGATTCTGTAGAAGGATCTATAGTGTTTGTATTCCATGAAGTTTGTTGGCAGATGCTTCTCATCCAGCTCACGTACAACACCGGCTCAGACCCAGATCATGACGATGTGGCCTACTGGCTTTTCTTTGTCCTTTCATGCATCCCGCGGTGGAATAGACGGCTTCTCCCTCGGCATGGTTATCATGGAGTGATGCGAATTCTCGAATCAAGCCGTTTGAGAGCTGTATTGGAAGCCGTGATCGATTACACCCCCTTCCCCTCCATCTCTACACGGTACCACCCATCCCAGCCACCTATAGCCTCGGGAACGTTATTACCAAGTCAAGACCAGTCTTCTTATGACCCGTTCCGGCAACTGCCTCCAGAAATTATCTGGGAAGTTATTCTCTATCTTACGTACGATGATATCCATAATGCGCGACTCAGTTCCCGCCATTTCGCCATGCACACTTCCACAGGGAGATTGCCCCAGAATTTCTGGGCCAGCAGGTTTTCCCTCGAGATGGATATGGCCTTCGTCCTGGCTATGGATAAGAATGAGACCGGATATGCAGATATGGACTGGCGGAGACTGTTTGATAATTGCATGAGTCTGCTTCGGCAACCTGGCAGCTTGGGCGACGGCTTCCGAAATCGACAACGCATATGGATCTGTCTGCAAGATATCACCGCCACCATCGAGAATCTCCTCCTGTATAACAATATGAATCCGATAATCTTCGGCGTGCCAGCTATTTCACTCTTTGGCTACCATTTAGGACAAAGAGTCTCGTGTTCGGACCTTGAAAATCGCAACCGTGCTGATACATCACAAGTTATGGACAGCAAGATCTCAAGGACACGCGAGATCCTCTTTCGGCAAAGTCCCAGCTCTACCATCTCCTCGATAGAGTATTCGACTATTGTCTTTGAATCTGTGCCCTATATTTGCGGACTCAGGGTTTCATGGCCGCCAGAAGATGAAAGAGATTCCGAACCATTTCAAGAAGTCGGGCTACTACTTCCCTCTCGGACCAAAAGCGTGCCTGTTGAGAAAGATATATCATTGTCGGATATTTCAGTATGCTACTCCCCGGATGGAGTTCTTGGCTTTTCAATCTTCACACACGAGGTGAACGGACGTCTCGATAGGCTGTCTATCGGGCGGACAGATATTGTCTATCACAACTCAGCTACCACCTTGCTTCGGTCCTCAGGCCCTATAGCAGGCCTGCTCTTTGGGTTCGACGTACGACTGAGTACTATCCGTCCCTAAATATCGTGACCTTAATCTGACTGATTATTCTTATCTAGGCACTGAAAATAATGTCCATGCAGCTTATATGCGATCACCCTCCTGCACCAGAGGCGTCAAGAGGGTTATCAACTTCTCTTATTACCCAAGCTCGAGAATCGTCAGCGAGCAAATACGAAGCTGTTAAGAGATTTTTTGGTAGGCACTGAAGAAACAAACGAGATAATTTCACAATACCCCAGAATGCAAAAAGGAGGCTACGTTTCGTAGAAAGGGACGTTATTCAATAATATAATCATGTCACGAAACGCACTCAGGATTCTTAAAAGTGTTATTAAAGTGTTCCTATACTTGCCACTTAATGTCCCAGGATTTCCTTCACTTCGTAATTCTTCCGAGCGAATAAGAACCAAAGAGAAATGGTCAGAATGGCCACGGCGACAAGCACTGGCGAAGCATAGTTCATCTGGTCAGCGACGGCGGGAAGGTAGTATGGGAAACAATAGAAGACCACAGCAACGGCACCCCAAGCAAGCATGACAATATTCGCAATTAGTCCCAGCTTGGGATACCAGAAAGGTCCATGCGGGAAGTTGGATCGGCCTTGCATGAGGACGAGCACAACGGGAATGCTGTAGCTGATGTATTGGAGCATGAGACCCGTGGAAATGAGGGAATTGAAGGCCAGCTCGGATCCAAGATACAGGCAACCGAATATAGCGGTGAATGTGCTGGACATGACCATGGACCAGATAGGCGTGTAGAAAGGTGCAGGCGCAAGCTTGCTGAGGTGGCGATGCAGCGGGAAACCAGCTTCGCGGCTGATAGTCCATGCGATTCGAGACTGCCATGTCTGAATAGACCACACTGCTCCGGCCGTGGTGATGAGAACTGGGACCCAGAGGCCAACAGCGGCTGCTTTGCTGCCAGTAATTTGATAGAACAGAGCCACAGCGGAGTTATCGCCTGATCCATCGATGCTCACGACGTTGATCAGCACGGACAAAATGACCAGAAGACCCGACACAAAGCCAATGACGATAGTCCAGATGAGGGCTCTGGGGATGTTGGTTTCGGGGTTGGGTATCTCCTCGGCAAGATGGGTGGCGACGTCAAGACACGAAAAACTCCAGTTGGCACCGTTCATGCCAATAATGAACGCGATCCCCTTCTGCCAGCCAGTCACATTGACGGACGATACGAAGAAATCCTTGGCAGTAGAGTGAGTCTTGGACATGGCAAAGAGTGCGATGAAAATGACCCCTATTGTCAGGCAACTGAAAAGCAGCATCACTTTCGAAATCTTAGGAAGTGCATGCTCAAAAGTCGCCAGTCCGAGAGTGAGGATGTTCAAAATTTGATAGCCAATAAATATCATCCATCTCTGAACAACAAAATCGGGGTTCAGAAGTGTGATTATCGAGAATATCCCTGCGGGAACGGAGAGACACGCCGAGGCACCTGTCGCTACTGCAGCGAGCCAACTGACCATGGCTGTTGCAAAGGACATAAATCGTCGATAACGGGGAGGGGCCATCCGGTTGACCCAGATATATTGCCCTCCTGGATGAGGGAAAGCAGATGCCAGCTCCGCAAGGGTTGTAGCCGTAGCAAGACCGACGACAGCCATCAACAGAAACCCCCAAAACACGAGCGGGGAGCCACCCATTGGAAGCGTGCTTCCAAGGACTAGGAGAATGCCCACAGCGGTGTTGGTGGTTCCATAGCCGATGCCAATGGCAGACAAGGTTGTAAAGGGCTTCTGTGTTTGTATCACGACACCGCCATTGTGAATTGACGACGGGGCTCTCTCCAATTTTCCATTGTCAACCTTTTCATGCACAATGGGAGAGTCCTTGGCCTCCTTGGTTGATGCCGGGCCGTCTCGAGATGATTCGTTATCCATGACGTTTTGTGTAACTTGAAGAGTGAAAGATGACACGAGGATACGCGTCCTTCACACAATATTGTCAACCTGCATATGTATTCATGAAGAAAGGTGGGCCGGGATCCAATTTATAGAATCAGAAAGTCACTTCCATCACGATCAACCCGTGATAACTTGATAAGGGTGGAGAGGAATGTTCGCATCCGAGACACTAGGCGGAATGTGGAAAGTAGGTGCGATCTCCCCCGCCATCGGAACTGTACAAAGACATCCGTGAGATAATGCTGTTACCCCGCAAGGGTCTTATCTGGAGCACGTCAAATGGGCCTCTCCGGGTGTCATGTGGTGATTCTTGGGCATCCCTGGCCTTCATCTATTAGTGAAAGAGGCAATACAATCGACTAGTATCGGCTTTAGCGAGTCGTTAGATCACGAAATGCAGTCACCTCCTGGAAGAGCCGTACATTCGAAATCACGCAACGGCTGTTTGCGATGTAAGGCCAAGAAGGTGAGGCCTCCCCTTTGCGTCCTTGATCGATGCGCCCCATAAGCTCACGACGTACTGTCAGACAAAATGCGATGAGAGGAAGCCCGCTTGCGCCCGCTGCGAGAGTCGCGGGTTCCAATGCCCTGGCTACGCATTGAATGTGCGATGGTCCCAAAAGCACCAAGCCGCCCAAGCAGAGAGACCATATGCCAGAGGGCCGAGGACAGCCAAGAGTCCAGATGCAGTCTCAATCCGGAATATGCAGACTGAGCCTGTTATTTCGGGATATACTACCCGTGCTGCCAGTGATACAGGCCCAAGCGGTCTGCATTCCGGCTCGCTGATCAATTCTCCTTCACATTGGGACTTCATATTGCCGGATCAACTCTTCGATTTCCAGGCCTCCCCCGAAGAGACTTTTATGGTCGGTGATGAACCATCAGCTGCAATATCACACAATGCCTACTTAGATTGTACTTCTGCGGACTCCGTATGGGGTGCCAACAGTGACAACTCTGCAGCTTCGTCTACTGTTGATGCAATGCTCTCTCTAGGGCAGAGGCGCCTACCAGATCACAACCTAACTCTATCGAGGCTTATCGACCGATCTAATCCCTTGCAGTTTTCCTCTGGGATGCATCTTGATGTCGGCCGCATAGCCTCAAGCCCCCCACGAGAGCTTACTCATATGCCCACCGTTCTATCCGAGCATTTCTTTCGTGAGGTCATCACCCTCTATTGCACCTGGGATAGCAAGTCAAACACGATGCGGAATATCGTTGAAAGAAAGTGGCAGTCATCGGGGGTTCTTCATCACACTATCCAGAGTATGGCCGCAGCATGCCTCTCAGAAGATTTCCCCCATTTTGCCCCCATTGCTGCCAAAGAACACGCACATGCGCTTGAATACATTGGAGATATCTCGCCACCTTCAGCTACACCAAGTGAAGAGAAGCTTTTAGCCTCTACAATGCTCGGGCATACGGCCAGCTGGCTCAACCCCCAGAGTCTTGCTACGGACATGTTCAGAGTCAGTTGTGACATGGTCAGGGAACTCCCTACAGATGGTGAAAATACCGACTGCAAATCATTCTTCAGCGACACCATGGATTACTGGGCAATGCTCTTGGTCTATTTGACGGACAGACAGAACCTCGGCACTTATACAACCGAGTCAGAGGGACCAGCCACCGGAGCCTCTGATCCGTCTCAGCCCATCGAGCCCCATCCTTATTCGGGCCTTTCAAGGGAGACGGTGAAGCTCCTTACAGATGTGGGAATACTTATTTTCCAATATCGAAAACACATCTCTAACGTAAAGTTCATGACTGAGAGAGATCTAGACGTCTTTCGACAGTCATTACGGGACGCACGCCGATTTGAAAGGAGACTGCTCGCTCACCGCACCCCTCACCTCTCGCTAGTCAAAGATACCGGGGATCCCAAGACCTCACTGGCCCATCTGCAACTGATTGACGAAGCCTACAGGTGCACGGGCTTGCTGCAGCTTTACCGCGTGTTCCCCGATCTACTCAATGAGCGGTACGCTCCTTGGGATGAGCAGCTCATTCTTCAGCCAGCCCCCTCCGAAACGGTCCCCAGCGCCAAAGAAAGACAAACTTGGTTGACCAAACTGGCCATTCACATCTTGAATATCCTCCGGGAGATACCGTTTGAGTCCCGGACCCGTAGCGTGCAACCCTTCATCATGGTTTCATCTGCAAGCGAGCTGAAACATGACGACGTGAGTGACGCGGATGGTAATCTGGGCGTGAGCCAATTCTCGATCGAAGTGGCACGCGCACGTAAATTTATAAGCTCCCGATTGGCAGCATATACTCATATTCTGTCTTTGCGGAAGATAAGGGTTATTTTCGAGCTGATTCGGTCAATATGGTCAGCGCTGGATGCCGGAGAGAAGGATGTGTATTGGTTGGACGTGGCCTATGAGAAGCAGCTTGGAACGATGATGGGATGATGGAGAAGGCCAGTTCGTTATCCAGTTAGGAAGTATATATGATGTTACTATCCTATAGCTTTGCCTGTCTAATATCATCAGGAGGTGGAATGCTAGAAAATTTCGATACTGTCTCCTCCGGCGTCAATGTGCTTTTGAGTCGGTCCTCCGTGAGGAGAAAGCATTGCGGAAACCACTCTCTCACGTCTTCCCCAAGCATAATTCGCACCAGGGCCTCTGCTGTCAGCCAGCATTTATCCATACCGTATCCGTTGAAGCCGGCAGCAATCCATTGCTCACTATCTGTCGCGCCGCTAGTCAAAGAGGCAGGTATTTTACCAACGACAGGGAGGTTATCTGCAGTGTGGCCTTGGGTTCCAGACCAAATAGACTCGATTTCGGCTTTCTCCTCGTTTCCCCAGCCTTTTAAGAACAGCTTCGGTAGGATCGTTGAAAGAGCGGCGCGTGCTTCATCAGGTACGTATGTATCATCTGAGGTGAGTATGTTTTTGAGATATGCCGTCTCATTCCCGATCCATATTCGTGAAGTCAAGGGGTTTTCTTGTAAATAATACAAACCCGTGATATACATACCGGTCCGTGGATCTAAGGACGGCTTGTGCGAGAGACTCCAAGATCTGGATCCTCCGCCGCTCTTAAGGAAGGGGCCCGGTTTCTGTACACTCATTGTCCCGCGGAAGGGATAGATGCGGCCTGCCAGTTTCGGTAGAAGATGAGAGGCATGTCCATTGGTGCAATGAATCACACGCTTTGCTTTGATTGTTCCTCTAGGTGTCGTGATCCTGTAAGGGTAATCCTTGTCCTTTGGCAGATGATGCACAGCTGTGGCAGGTGTATGGGTCTCAATAGCCAATCTACTGGGATACTTCTGTAGTAAACGCTCGAAGATTCCAGTTATCAGCCTGTACGGCCAGACCGCCCCAGCGTTATGCTCAACGGCCCCAGCGCTGTTCTTGATATTCCACCTCTGGAGGCTGATTAGCCCACATTCCAGTGCACATTAGCGTGTATAACTCATACCTCAGGAACCGCGTGTTTTTCGACAATGGTATGATACTTGTTATACTCCGTTACATTCTTTTGGAAATCGAGAACAGAACGAGTTGCATTTGCCCAAGTCTGTTCGTCTCCCACTGCCATTACCTTCAACACATCTCGCAACTGGCAATGATCTTGGAATTCTTGGCCCATCTCTCGGATCATCTTCATGATTGCTTCGATGTTGAGAAGACTGAATCTTGTCACCTCCTTCGCAGCCTCAATCCCATGTTGTTCAGCCAGCGGCCCAAACGTGTGCCCTGATGCTGTGACCAGATGCCCACCGTTGCGGCCTGTGGCGCCGCTCACAAGAGTTCGCGCTTCTAGGACTGTCACATGGAAACCGCGTGTTGCCTCGTGTTCTAGAAAGGTCTTGGCGACACTACACCCTGTGATGCCCGACCCGATAACAACAACATCTGTGAATTCCGGGAGCGTCGTAGACTGAATAGATGCCACGGCAGGATGCTCTGGTATTTGCCAGGATGACACGGTTGGTTTTTTCCGAGGCAGGCCGGGATCTTCCAGAATGGCTTTGGAGATGTACTCCAGCATTGCAGCACTCGTTGGGTCTGGTCGTACATCGCGATAGAAGTGAGCTGAATACTCTGGAATCTCAAATATCAGCTAGGCTCACCTCGACGGGCTGACGTATGCACTGCTTTTGGATCCGGGTTCGTCATTGCAAGTGATAAGATTCTCTTGGCCGGAATTCCGTCTACCGATTTCAGAAGCAGGTTTAGCTAGCCGTTACGAAACCTTGAGATGAAGGAAGATACGGCTCTGCACTTATTGGTTGTCGCCTATCAAGTCGTGGATCCGCTGGTGCGGGGATTGACAAGAACTCGGAAACAAGAAAGTTCCAAAGGTGGAAAGTCGATCCGAATAAATCCACTAGTCCGTCTGGGCAGAACCGGACAGAAGAGCGCCGTTACTTGCTGAGTCCGAATTCAAGAAGCAGTAAGCGGGAGCAAATAACCATTCCAACTGTGGAAAGCCGTACGAATCAAAAGTCGTTGAAATTGGAATTCGATTGCGGAAATCTATAGATAAAAATAGGGCTTGGGCTTGTCAAACTAATGATCACGGTCATCTCCCATCCCCGGGCTTCGCATGGGGCTCTCTCATCATGGTAAAGAGCTTGATAGCAACCCCATCGTCATCGCAAATCATGTCCTTGACAAATTTGAATCCCCAGCGCCCATAGATAGCAATATTCGGATCATCACGACTTGATTCCAGATAGCACTTCATATTCTCGGCATCAGCTTGGTCGGTCACCTGCTTCATCATAGCCGCTCCAACTCCCATTCCCTGCGTTTCAGGCAGCACCACCATGATATTCAAAAAGTAATACCCTCTTGGATCATCCCATATTTCCGACTGGACCTTTGCTTGAGCGTCTTTCCAGATATAATACCGCTGTAGGGGGCAGGTGGTTAGAGCTACACGTCAAGAAGAGAAGACGAAGGGCAATCTTACCTTGACGTTCAACCCGCCACGTCCATAGTATAGATTCATCCCTACTTGGTTGAAATAGAGTCTCCATCCTTCCAACCAGTCGTTCCAGGTCGGTGGAGAATTGGCTGGCTGTGGCCGCAACCACATGGCCACGCCTAAAACCTTGTCGCTGCCTTCTTCCTTTGCCACGTGGAAGATGCCATTTCGCATACCCCATCTCATGCGTATCCCAAGAGAAGTCGCATTGCGTTGTTGATTGAACTGTAAGATTACGATAATTAGTGCCCAATCACTTCATGCGATGCTGGATACATTACCTTGGAGTGGTCATAGACCCATTCATTATAGGGATCATTTTTGAAGGCATCTCTAAGTGCGAGTCAGCACTGTTTCATGCGCAGGTAGAGCTGCGACTACTCCCCCCGTTTCGAACAAAAGAACACATACTGCACAGCTGCAACAGCCCCGGGAATGTCGGCCTCGGTGAGACTGGAGATTGTGATAACCATTTCAGGCTGCCACAAGGAAGGTTGGTAGGAGCAAATGCTTCAGAATATGCACGATGCGATGGCATCGGCGATAGTGCAGGACGATATATTCCGCGACAGGGTAGTAAATTCTTATCATGTGGTTTCCTGCCAGGGTTAATCTCAGGATAATGTCCCTGCAATGCTGAGGGGAACAAGCATCTCGCATCCGTCCGCGGCTCGCATAGACTTTCCCGGTTTGGTAAGTCTGTCCCCTGCTCCAGCAAAATCCAAGTTGGGCCATTTGCATCGGCGGAACACAAGGAGGGACCACTGAGTTAAAGCCGATAACGATCACAATGGAGACTAGACTTGCTCTCTTATTCGATGGGTGTTTGGTGGCAAGATGAGGGGCAACAGAGCCAACGCATGCACGATCCTAAGGGCTGAAACGAGGGTCATGCATCTACTCATCGCTTCGCTTGTAGCATTAACCACAGATTTGTCGCAGCTATTGATTGACGATTTCACTGCATGTTCCTGCAAACTTCTGAAACAACCAACTGTTCCAGTTGACCGCCGCTCTGTATACTACCCAACTGCACCGGAAGGACCCTGTGATATCGCCTGCTTAAACCAACACCAAGTCATACATTATTAAGAGTAATTGTAATCCAACCATGTAAACCTCTCACCGAACAATTGGGCCGCTTGCCTCGCCCTCTGTCTTCGTATCCTCATATGTGATTGTTATCTCGTTAACCCTGACAATATTGTTACTCCCTTGAAGCAGAATCGTCTCGTCGCTGTCGTTCTTGATCGTAGTCTTGGTCATGGTGCCGGCTATAGCTTCGACATCATCCTTGTCGCTACGGCTAGTAAATGTATTGTTCTTCTTACCGCCGCCCTTCTTGCTACGCGAATATGAGCTGAGTTGGTAAGGACCAGTACCTCCATAGCCCGAGGAGTGCTGCTGGTAGCCGCCACCCGAGCTCGAGTCGTGACCACGCAGCTTGTTCCATAGAGGATGAAATGACCCAACCGTAACGCATATGATGGTTGTCGATACTTCGGTGAATGTCCACATGTAGTTATCCGGCATGGCATCTATTAAGAACGGTTAATCTCCAAAATCAACAGTGTGTATGACACAGGTGGGTGACTTGACGTACAGAGATAATCATTAGTCTCATTCAGAGCCCCAAGTCCAGAGGTTCGGATGACACCACAAATTCCAGCACTGTTTATCAGGAGCATTTGTCAGTACCTTATATCATCATGGGACGAGGATGCATGAAATAAAATGACTTACAAAACGCCGAGACTGAGAGAAATACAGATAGTAATGCGCTCCTTTCTCTTCATGTTGAGATTGCGGAGAGCTATCCATGGGAAAGCAGCCAAGACGAAATCCAAGAAGGCGGCGTATGCTATTCAGAATGATATTGGTTAGATTGCTTTTCTGCACAAATTCACGCTATTAAAGCGGCCAGATGAGCTCACTTACAGCAGTCAACGAAGGCGAGGATTGTGAGGTTGATGTGGCAGACCTTCTTGTCTGCCAAAAGCGGATTCCATATAGACTCAACAGGTGAGCACTGAGCAAAAACAGCACTACTGAGAATCAAACTCAGGATCATCATTGAACCAATGCAGAACCATAGAAACCACCGTTGCCTAGGACGGGGCGCAAAAGTCAGCAAGAGAATACTTAATCAATAAGCACTTCAGCATCAGAGGGAGGAGGCCCTACCAAGGAGCAGTCACAATGCGGAGCAAGAAAGTAGCTACGACGACCTTGCACATTCCGATAGCCAGAGACGCAATGACCTGTGCGCACGTAATATAGAACACGCCGTCTGCGAATTGCTCAGTCGTGAGGTCGGCGCGATGCTGGCCCATCCCATGAGCCACGCCCACGGACGTCAAGGCACCGAAAATTACCATCAGAAGCTGTATGGTTGGTAAGTTAGAATCCGATACCTCATCTGTGTGTTCGAATCAGGATGTGTGAGATGGACCAACCCAGGTGACGATAAGCCAATAGTCATCCCATCCAACTTTTCCCCTAATGTAATGTCGGGTGTAAAATCGCAGGCTGATTAAAATCAGGGTCAGGAAATTCTCGCCCCAGATGACACCAAGCACCGTTCCGCCTCTGCCTCCTATTCCAGCTGGCTCTGTCATGTTGATGTTGTCAAGTCGCTTGTTATTCCGAGAAGAGAGATGGCAAGGAAACGGGGGAGAGAATTTGTTGCGCGAATGGTTTTGTCGGCCCTTTACTTAGAGCAATGTGGCGTGTGGTCGGCCTCAAACCTTGTCTTCAAGGGTGTATGATATAACTGGTCCCTTCACACGCACGATCATCCAAAGGAGAGTATCCTGATCGAGTGGAGTTGGAAATCGGCCACGAGGTTGACAAAAAGAAAAGAAAGTTCCCCGGAAAGGGCCAGAAAAGAAAACATCGGGATCATGCATGTATAGGTGGGTGAATGATCGCCACAACCATTCATCGCTTCGCCTATTCGCTCTGGAAGCTAAAGCACAAGCTAGCTAGGAACATGCAGCGAGGACTTTCAGCTCCCACATGTTGGTGTGTTGGTGGGCGACACCCGGTGCTTCGCATCTCGCGTCCAGGGGCTTAGCGCCGCTTCACACTCTACCCAGTGCCGAGAAACACCTCGGGATTTGCTACAGTAGCTCTACAAGCTGAGCTCGATATGAAATTAGAGAGCTCCTTCTAAAATTGCCACGGCGGCTGTCGTCTTAGTTGCATGCACTGGGCAGTAGACCGCTGCGTGGAGAAGCCGGACAACCGTCGATCAAGTCCGCACCTGGTAAAGGCAAGCCTGACCGGTGAAAATGGGTGACGAGACATGCAAGTCCGTTGGTCTTGCCAACGAATGTCGGAAGCAGGCCTCGTAGCCGGGGAATTGGGCTAGGAGGAGCGATCTGCAGCTAGCACCCTTTGCATAATGGAATGTGCAGATCCTGAAATCCCGAGTGCTTTATTAGCGTTGGGCGAGAGCCAACCATGAGACCAGTCTGAAATGAAAAGAGGCCATCAATTGGCCACAAGAAGTCGCTTGCGTGTCCGCGGTGCTAGCGTGCTGCAAATAACTTGGTTCGGCTATGCCATGACTCGCCCGACCTGACTCTTCAGCAAAAGCCCCTAAACTTGGACACCAGAGCGAGCTAATAGTATGTACGATCAGGTTGCTTGTGTGTGGTCGGCAAGTCCCCTAAAAAGGACTTTCCGGGGAAGTCCCTGAGCCATGTAAATAGCGCCAGCCGGATCATCTCTCCGGTATGGTGTTATTACAATGTTCCTGGCACATATCAAGAAGGGTTGGATGGGTGGTCTCATTCAAAAGACGGGATGACATCCTGTCAATAGTTCAATTAGTGATTCTCATCCCAATGCACTACCCTTAGATTAATAAGTGTTACTGTATCAAACTACTGAAGAAACCACTCTCCGGCAGGTAGGTCTCCTCTCCCCCAATTTGGAGACCTAAATCTTCCATTCCATCTCTCGTACATAGTGTGTTCCTTAGTCCTTTGAAGCTTGGGTTAATCACCATGCCAAAATTTCGCTGACGGCTGCTTCATGGTGAGACAGCCACATTATTCAATCTACTCATGCTATACCACAGTAACTCCCTCCGACTCTCAACAAAGAAAAAGATGTACGAATTTGACATCATAGGCTTTATGCATTGGCGTATCATGGCAATCAATTGTGAGCCCAGTGGCTTAACATCCTTGTCAAGAGACGATCGGTTCGCCAAATGAATCCACCGAGCCTCTATTCAATATTCAAGGCTCCATGGGAAACCTTGCGTGAAGATTGCCCTCCACATCTGGTACAATGTGCAAGGGCCATTAGGTGGAGATGGCATCAAGCACGATAATCTCATCCGCAGTCCTGGGATATGCTACCCGGATCCCCATCAACCCAGCCGAACAACCCTGATCTTAGCTGATCTCTACCACGTGAACCAATGCCATGGCATGGGTCCCGTCTTAGCTACAGGGCGATCCCATTTACAGAAGAGGGGCAAATGGCGAAAGATCTCCGCAATCATCGACCATCACCAGGAGAAAATGGCCCGCCAATACGATGGCAACGCGATCGACACATTGGGAAGAGGCCGACGAACGTCAGGGATGTTCAGACGATGGATCATGGTGCCAAGTATCGCCTGGATTCTAAACTGATCACAGCTAGGCGATTCTCGGACCTCACTTATACAGGCTAGCTTAGATTTGGCGTTGAAGCAGGACTCTCGCCGGCTCTGACTTTACCGTACTTCATATCCTCAGTGATATTCTACTTTTGTTTACTCATGTACCATTTTCAAACGTTCCTTGGCCAAAATTCGTTGAAAAGGGGGTTCTCTGGAAGTGTAAATGAGCCACCACAAGATCAAAGTAAACAAGTTTAAGTTCCCCATTATAATGAAGATTCATCATCCATGCTATTCTAGTAGGAGTTTCCCAATACACGGGGTTTTTCTTCAACCTCCCCTGTCTCCTCATAACATGTTAGTCTCGGCGCGATCAAAGTCTTTCGCGCATAGAATCAGTTGAGGCTCTGTCTCCTGCACATGGATATCACTTGTGCAGACTTCTCATATATCGTGAAGTTGAATATTTATGAATCATAGTCATGTTCTTATGCCTTCATTTATGCTAAAAATCTACAATTGGTCTTTTTTATCTTCAATTTTGCGATTTTCTTTTGATTTCATTTCTCGCTTCCGCTCAGTGCTCAAATCCAACACCCAGAGGACCATTAAGATCCCTAAAGTCGCCTCGCAGGACCTCAATACCCTCTCTACGAACCTCCTCGACGAGATCCTTGATCTTGGGTGCCATCTTGGCCGGCACGTATCCAAAAAACTCATAAGCAGCCTTGGATGGCAAGCTCTTTCCGAACCGACGCATGGAGAAGGACGCGTCGGCGTAACGCTCCCATCCGTTAGCAGCGTATGCCTCAATCACCACGGTTGCCTTGCCGGAGCGGGGCTTAAGGACCGACTGCTTGTATTGGCGGGACTGCTGCTCGAAGAGTCTGGGGCAGGGGAAAGAGACGACACGGGCTTTGATTCCGTATTCGCTGGCAAGGAGATCGCGGGTCTCCATCGTGTAGCCCATCTCGGAGCCGACGCCGATGAGAGTGACGTCGAAGTCTTCAGACTCGGCGAAGACGTAAGCACCGGTGGCAACACCTTCGCGGGACGAGTTCTGTGGGAATTGTGTCAGGTTCTGGCGAGAGAGGGAGATGATGGTAGGGGTCTCGGTGGCCTGAATAGCAGAGAGGAAAGCTCCTGCGACTTCCTCGGAGTCGCAAGGGCGAATGTATAGGAGGTTGGGCATGGCACGATAGAGGGCAGGGAGGGCGATGGGCTGATGGGTAGGTCCGTCTTCTCCAGTGCCGATGCTGTCATGGGTGGCGATGTGGATCTGCTGAAGGCCCTGGAGGGCAGCCATTCGAACGGCCGGTGCAGCATAGAGGTAGAACATGAAGAAAGAGGAGGTGACGGGGAGGAAGGTTCCCTTTTTGAAGGCGGCCAGACCGTTCGAGATGGCGCACATGGCGTGCTCGCGGATTCCGTAATGGATGTATCGGCCGGTGTAGTCGCCATTGAGGCCACAGGCGGTTTTGAGGTTAGGCTATTCACATATTAGGGACTGGTGGCAAATACCAATTATCGAAGTACTCACAGATTGGAAGTCGACCTTCTGGTTGAAGGCCACATTGCAAGACGGGGTGAGATCAGCAGTGCCAATCAGGAAGTTGCGCATTCTCTCGCCGAGAGGGTTGGTGATAAGACCAGCAGATTTCCTGGTTGCAACTGGTTCCTTGGGGAGCTGCTCAGATGTAGGAATGCACTTGGTCCAGTCATCGGGCATCCTGCCAGCGACACGGAGCTGGAACTCGGTGCCGAGCTCGGGATTTTGCTGCACATACTTGCTAACGGATGCGTTCCACTCGGCCTCGTACTCCTTGCCACGGGGACCTACGTCTTCGAAGAAGTCGTAGACGTCCTGGGGAATCTGGTAAAACTCCTCCGGGTTGAGGCCGAAGGAGGTCTTAATGCTAGCGATATCGTCGACACCCAAAGCAGCGCCGTGGGTCTTGGCACTACCAGCTTTATCAGAGCCGAATCCGATGGTTGTTCGAACGTTAATAAACGTCGGCTTCTCAGTAGACTGGCGTGCGGCAATGAGGGCATCAGTGATGGCTAGTAGTGAGAGTTAGTATATATCTGTGCAACTTCATTTGCTGTGCTGGGGACGCCTTACACTCAATATCTGAGTCTCCGTTGGTGACATCGATGACATTCCATCCCGTGGCCCTCATCTTGGCGTTCATGTCTTCGGTGTTGGCAACATCAGCTGTTCCGTCGCAGGTGATATTGTTGTTATCATAGATAACGCAGAGGTTGTTCAGCCTCCAATGACCTGCGAGAGAAACGGCCTCCAGACCAACACCCTCCTGGAGGCAAGCATCACCAATCATACACCAGGTCATGTTGTTGACAACTTCAATGCCGTCCTTATTATAAGTAGCTGCCAGGTTCTTGGTGGCTATGGCGAGGCCGACGGCATTAGCAACACCCTGGCCAAGGGGCCCAGTAGTAACCTCTACACCCTCATTCTCAATCTCAGGGTGTCCAGGGCAAATAGAATCTGTACGGCTGGAGTGATATGATTTAAGCTGTTCGAGATTCATGCTCTTGACACCAACAAGGTGCATGAAGAGATATTGCCATAGACAAGCGTGACCTGTACAATCTTTGTTAGGCGGGCTTCCCAAAACTTGAGACGTAAAATGGCTTACCATTGGACAAAACGAAACGGTCACGGTTGAAGTATTCGCAGTTCTGTGGCGAGTACTTCATGACATATTTGTAAAGGGAAACACCAATGGCAGCCATCCCCATGGCAGAGCTATTTTGCTTCGGTTAGCAATGCTCATGGTCGTTGATGCTTGAATGCCTACCCAGGATGTCCACCATTGAATTGCTGGCAAAGATCCGCAATGAACGCACGGAAAACTTTGAGGACTCTGTCATGCGTCTCAGTGCTCTCGAACTTGATGCCCGAGGCTACGGCAGACTTGGCGCCCTTAAGAGGGTTGACGGGCAGAGATTCTGCTACCTTCTCGAGAACTTCCA